TTTGTTTTTATATTGTTTTAATGTTTTTTTTTTTTACTAACCCCAGATTATAATTTAATTTGTTAGTGACACTTGGGCTCTGCCTGAAATGAACAGAATAAATTAAAAATAAGTTTAAATTTTACTTACACGGATTCTCACTTTCGCGCTTCACTTTGTTAAAACATACTCGCCGATAAGACTTAGGGACCTTCAAGAAAAGAGCCTACTCCTTTTTAAAAGGCCGGCAAAGCATCTGCATTTTCACTGGTGTTGCGGTTGTTCATGGTCGGCGGTAGTCACTTACCATCAGGTGAGCCGCATGCTCGTTTGCCCCCTCTTTTATATGAAAAAAAATATGGTATATTGAGTGTTGGTTTTTTAAACATAATTAACCGACAAATATTTCATGACACGCCTGGCGTGTCAAGTGCCACAGAATATATGCTTTTTTCACTTGTTTAGACCTAATTAAATTTAGTAGACATCAAACATCAGTTACAAACGGAAGGATACTTGTTTTTAGTGGGTAACTACGTCTTTTTTTTTGTTTTCTTTAAAATGGAGAGTAAGTGACTTTTTTATGCAGAGATTACAAACCTTTTGTACTATTTTTAAAAAAAATCTGTTATATTTTTTTTTATAGGATAGGGGTCAAACGAGCATGCGGCTCACCTGATGGTAAGTGACTACCGCCGCCCACGAACAACCGCAACATCAGGTGAATTGCAGATGCGTTGCCGGCCTTTTAAAAAGGAGTAGGCTCTTTTCTTGAAGGTCCCTAAGTCGTATCGGTCCGGAAAAATCGCTGGTGGTAAACTATTCCACAAGGAAGTTGTGCGAGGAAGAAAACATCTTCTAAATCGCACAGTGGTGGACCGCCAATCATCCAAATAGTGTGGATGGTATCGGGAGTTCTGCCGCGATGTGCGTTCGTGAAATTTGGCAGGTGGGATTAATCCGAACAATTCCTCAGAGCACTCCCCGTGGTAAGTGCGAAAGAAAATGCAAAGAGATGCAACATCTCTTCGCAGCGCTAATGAGTCGAGCCGATCGGAAAGGACTCGGTCGTCGACGATTCGAACCGCTCTGCGCTGGATGCGGTCAAGTGGAAGGAGCTGGCACTAGGGAGCCCCAGCCCAGAGATGGGAACAGTACTCCATGTGAGGCCGAACCTGCGCCTTGTAAAGTTGCAGGCGTTGAGCCGGCATGAAATACTGTCCCGCTCTGCTGAGCACGCCAAGCTTTTTAGAGGCCAATTTGGCATTCTCTTCCAAGTGACCACGAAACTGCACGTCATTCGATATGTTGACGCCGAGGATTCCGATACTGGCTGAGGCAACAAGGGGAGTACCTTGAAACTGAGGAGATACGACAAAGGGGTTCTTTTTAGCGGTAAACGCGCAAACTTGTGTCTTCTGAGGATTAAACTGGACTAAATTTAGTCGCCCCCAATCCGAGACAATGTCCAGCAAAGACTCGACTTCAGACACAAGTTTGTTCCGGTACTCGGTGACGTTTTCCCGAGAAATATTGGCACGGCCGGTGTATAGAGCATCACCAGTGCTGTCATCCGCATAGCAATGAATGCTACCGGCTTGCAACATATCATTGATATGCAGAAGAAACAGCGTTGGTGATAGCACGCAGCCTTGTGGAACACCAGCGTTAATAGGCTTGTAGTTGGAGCATGCACCGTCTACAACAACCTTGATGCTCCGATCTGCAAGAAAGCTGGTGATCCAATTGCATAATTTCTCGGCAAGCCCATAGGAAGGGAGCTTCGAAAGAAGCGCTTTGTGCCAAACCCGATTCGCGCCTTCGCGATTCGCAAACAATTATTTTGGAGAACAAGGGGGTGATGGCGATAGGCCTGTAGTTGGACGGGTCTGAGCGGTCGCCTTTTTTAGGGATCGGGTGGCCAAAGCTGTCTTCCATGATTTCGGGACTACGCCTAGGGAGTAGGAGTACCGGAAAAGACGCGTTAGAACCGGTGCCAACTCCGGGGCACACGTCCTCAGCACAATTGGGGGGATTCCGTCAGGCCCACTCGACTTGTGGATGTCAAGAGAGAGGAGTGCTCTGCGAACCGAGTGCTGTGAGAACCGCACATCCGGCATGGAGCACTCACACCGCGGGATGGTCGGCGGTGTGTTCCCCCCGTCATCAACAGTCGAGTTGGACGCAAAAAGGGAGCCTAAAAGGTCTGCTTTCTCTTTTGCGTCGTGGGCCAGTGAGTCGTCCTCCCTGTGCAGAGATGGTAGTGATGGCTTACAGAAATTCCCTTGGACAGCCTTGGCGAGAGACCAGAACGCGCAGGGGTTCCCGAAGGAAGGCGAACTAATTTCTCGCCAATTCTGCCTATATGCTCTGACTTTGTCTTGGCAATAACTCTTTTGAAGGACCTGGAGGCGAAGTTATACTTCTTTAAGTGTGCTGGTGTTTACATCCCGAGTCGCCGAAGCCGCAGCCCAGGCTTAATAACACTCCTGCTTACTGCGTAATGCAGTCTTACAGGAGAGACCAAACCAAGGCTGAGATCTGCCTCCGATGGGTACCACAGATGATGGAATAAATAGTTCCATTTCCTGTAGCACCACATCAGTGACAGAGTCAGCAACAGCGCTGGGATCATCCGGCGAGAAGCAAACCCGCCATGGGTAGGAAGCAAAGAAAGACCGCATTCCATCCCAATCCGCCGACCTGTAATGCCAAACACGGCGGCAACCTGCAGAACGCAGCCGCGAGGGGAGCGTGAGTGGCACCACACTCCGGATCAGACAATGGTCCAAAGAGCTAAGAGGGGCATCGACGGAAACCTGATATCCGTCCGGATGAGAGGTCAGCAGAAGGTCCAACAGGGAAGGTGTATGATCCTCAACGTCTGGAATCAGCGTAGTCGATGTAACCAGTTGTGTCAGACCATATGCCAAGGCAAAGTCATAAACAGATCTCCCCGCATGATCGGTTAAACGTGAACCGAGCCATTCGGCATGGTGAGCGTTAAAATCGCCAAGGATCATGATCTCTGCGGATGGGACCTGTTGTACCAAGGAATCTGTAGCCATTTGGACGTGGTCGATGAGTCGGTCTGTTTCGGCATTACCGCTATGGGACCTATAGAAGCACCCGTAGACGCGCGGATGGTCGTCGCTGTCTACGCGTAGCCAAAGGATGGACAGGTCCGAACCTTCAAGACTGCCGAGGCGTCGAGAACAGATGTCCTCTCTGACATACACGCAAACCCCAGCCCGTGGCACAAAGGAATGCTCCAGTTTGTACCCCGAGCAAGAGAGATACGAAATATCAGCCGGAGAGGAAACCTGCGTCTCGGTCAGAAAGAGCAAGGCCGGCTTCGCCGTCTCGAGATGGTAGTGGACGGCGTTTAGGTTAGAGTGAAGTCCCCTGATGTTGCAGAAATTCACGGATAGCGTGGCAGGGGTCGCCTTGGTGTTCTTGCTCAGTTTGCCCCGAGCAGTTATGTTTTTGAGCGGAATTTTGCCCACTCCCAGAATACGCGGGGCAGCCTGAGCACCCACGCTCAGGATCGGAATAACATGGTCGTGGATGCTCAGCGAGCGATTTTCCAGGGGTACTGGTACACTCCTGGGGTAGTCTATCGTGTAATTCCGCTACCATGTTGATGGGGGGGGGGGATTGGGCCTCTGGAATATAAGTATATTGTATTGTATTGTAAGTAGGTACATCTAAATCACCCTGGGAAAACCTTGGTTTTTATTAAATTAAATATTCACCTAATAATAACATTTGTAAATATCAAACAATCAAGAACCTTAATTTTGAAAATATAAGGTTTATGATTCATTGATATTTACAAATGTTAAATATTATTTAATGTTATACAAATGTAAAAGTAAAGTCGATCTGAAAACGTATAATTAGTAAGAATAGCAAAACAAGTGTTTTCAAAATGAAAAAAAACGCCGGCGCTATACGACGGCGGATTAATACTATTTATTAGCGACCTTGTTTTTAAGAATCAAGAATCATTTATTTGCATAAAACACGGTAAACAAGTTGTGACATCAAATAAAAGATCAACATGTTTTGTCCTGTTAGGACGTGCAAATATTTAAGTATGGGATCAATTGAATTAAAATTAGTTATTATTTAAACAGTACAATTATTTTTATTATTATAGTAGACATATTTAAAATGATAATACATTACAAACATTACATTCATGGGCAAGTGAATTTATTTGTAATTAAAAAACTCCTTAATGTTAAAAGCCCTTGCCCTTTGCATGAACGCTTTCGAACTGTAACAAGCAAAAATAAACCTTATACCATATCTAAAGAGCACATGGTACTTAGTAGGTCTATTCGGCCATATGATAGTAATAAGACGGAAGTTCAACCATTTTAAGCAAAATTAAACAATAAGATAAACGCATTGTTTCTTTTATAACAGGAGACTTGTTTCCAGAAACTTATTTAGAACTTGAGTGTGTGAGCGATCGTAATGAGAGCTATTATTTGTTACTTATTAGTCTATTTTTCCACAACATGATTTAAAACCCACAAAGTAAAAAGAGTTACCATGTACAAGTTAAAAAAGGTTGTCAACCCCTAAAAATATCCAGAAACGAAGCTGTAGGCATGAACTACTTGCAAAATAATGAATATTTTGTTCTTGATAAATCTTCGAAAAACGCAATTTGAGCGAGTTATGACGATTTTTAAAAAGATACAACTCGCGTGTCATACGCAACACACAAAAACAATCGATGGCAAATCTAGCGTGCCATCCGCACTGAAACGGTTAAAAAAAGACAAAGGCAATAAAGTCATACAGCCTAAGCGTATATTAATATTCATAAACCAGTGTCAAAGGTTTTTTCTTCTTTTTCAGGGATTCTTCATATAATTTAACTTAATCATGCTGAATATCAATTGCTTGCAATTTGCTTTTAAATTTTTCGTATTATTTTCGTCATAAATTAATTTTGAGTGATTGATGAAATTAATTTTTAATTTTAATTTTTATATTATTTTAGGATGAACCAATTTTGCTTCGTGTGCAACACAAAAGGTGCTATCTCTTTAAGGAATGCTGTAAAACTTTTTGAAGAAAATGTGAGTTGATTTTGCTACAAAATACTGTCTACCTACTTCAACTTTTAAAATATTTTAAATTACGAACGGAAGCCTTCAGCTGTCCGTCGCTAGATGGTGCTCGTAGATGCTACGAGAATTCTTTTTCTTGATAAGTTTGTCCTACTTATATTGTACCTATTTATCCATAGAAATAAGTAGAAAGTAAATTTTAATTTATTAAAAATGATTACCGGATAAATAAATGAGGATCTATATACGTATTAACCGATATTACTCATTTCTGGGTTCGAATTGATTTTATTTGAGAATCAGTCGGGAGTAGGTCCCGACAGAATCGAGTGTTGAAATCTGAATCAATCTAATTTTATTCAAACTCAATGTAATTTTATACTCCCGAAACCGTATATTATAGTATATGCACAATCAAATGGTAGTTTTAAATGGAATTATCAGAGCGGAAGCCTTCAGCCGTCTGCCGCTAGATGGCGCTCGTAATAACATGTTATGAGAAACGAGAACACGTTCTTGATAAGTTTGTCCTATTTATGTAATAAAATGTTTAAGAAGTGAACATTTTAATTTATCAGAAATTATCTCCGGCTAAAAAATATTTTCAAGTATTATTTTTTTCTAGAATATGGGTGACAAACGAGAACACGGTCCACCAGATGATAAGCTGATGCTGTGTCCCATAGATGTTTACATCTATCCTCGATTAAAAATATAAATGCAGATGCGTTGTCACCCATGAGGATTAAGATGGAATGCCTCGTTTCCTGTAAAAAGGCTGTCCGATTCTCTACACACACCATCCGAAACAAGAGTGCTGAGCTGCTGCTTTTTTTACACTGGCATTTTGTGACAGTGTGGTCAGGTTTTGAATTTCAGTGTTTCTTCAACGGTCGAGCCGACCCATTCGTGCTACAACCATAATTAAGCTGTAGCATGGCTCTACCACGACTAAAACAAAATTGTCTTTCTCGATTTAAATGGATTCGAGAGTAAACTTGAAAAGGTGTGAAACAACGTCATATTGGATAAAAAAGCGAATCAAATTCGAAATCAATTTCAAGAATAGATAACCCTGCTAGTCCTTTAACTGGCTTAATAAGTGCTTACCCTATTTTATGATAATATCCTCCTGATCGATCGGTCGGATCGGTCACGGCAGCCAGTCTCAACGGAGACTAGCCATCTGTGCAGACCAGGATTATAGTGTCCAAATGTATGCGCAAGCACAGGTGCACTCTCCATCCCTCACTCTCGTATTACTATGGTATGGTAATCCGACACGACTGGAAAGAATTCAGCTGCGGGGCCAATGGCTTAACGTGCTTTCCGAGGCACGGAGGTGAAACACTGTCAAATTCCAGACTCTGGGCTGCAATTGAGAAATTCTTGTCAGAATAACCCAATAACCCGACCGGGATTTGAACCCGGAATCATCAGTCGCGTTTATGACCACTAATTATGACCACTAACGAAAATTAGGCCTAGTAGAAAGCACAGAATGCATCTAACATATCTGCAACAACATATTTAAAAATAATATAAATAAGTTCAACAATCATTTATCTTTCTGACAATGTGCTTTTTATATCATTTATAGGTATAATATCATTGCTAGATACGATTTCATGCGACAAAACGTTGGAATCTTAATTTTCAGGCCCTAGCAGAACATACATGCGCGCTTCGCGCTTAAGGCATACAATACCTATACAATATTACGACTTAACGATATACCTGGCAACCCTACTCACAAATTGCATCAACTTTTTCTTTCACATGATTATATCTTCTAGTCTCTTTCTTTTTCAGCACCCACAAAGACTCAATCGCTACTCAATTTTAAAACGCCGTAAGTCTCGTGCTGTCTCTATCACTTTAAGTAAAAGTGACTGCGACAAAAAGAGACTTAACGACATCTTAAAATTGAGAAGCGTCTGTGTATTTGGCCAAAAATGTATTTGTTTGATCACACAACACGTTTTAGCTACAATTTTATTATTTTTTTGTTTTGTTTTAATATTAAATAATATAAATAAAGTTATAAAAATGTGATGATTGCCAGCCGCCTCAGACAGTCTTACAATCAGGAAAGAGCCTTCTTGAGGTGCTCAGTGAAATTGTTGAGAAGCCCATAAAAGAGGACAATGCGTACTCAAAAATTATCTGCAAGAAATGTTATAAGATGTGCACCGAGTACGATTCTATACAAGTCAGGTGAGAAAGTTATTCAAAATTCTGTTTTTTATTATATGAAATTATAATGCTTTATATATTTTTTCCTTTATTCGTGGCCACACAACTACAGCCTATTAAATGTCCACTGCTGAACATAGGCCTCCCCCATAAATTGCCACATAGGGGGACTTTGCCATAGCTGCAATACTTAGCAGGCGTGTTGGCGACCGCAGTTGTTTATTATATTGAGTTGTTGTCAAGATGCTGCTGCCCATTTCCTGTTAGTATTTCCTTCTCTCGCCTCTGACGTTCTGTCATGATTGACCGGAGCTACAGCTTTTAAGGATCATTTTCAGGATCTTCCCCACCATTACTAATCGAACACCGATTCTCACCAAGGATGATTCGTTAGGCTATTGAAATCATCAATGGAAATATTGGCTGGGTGATACCATCTGCTTGGGATTCCATCTATACAAATAAATAAAATTGAAGTGTCTGTTTGTAATGTTAGAATTACAGCGTTTTACTAAATGCATATGAAAGTATAAATGGCACTTATAACAAAAATATACTTTTTTAAATTTTTGTCTGTCTGTCTGTCTGTTTGTTCCGGCTAATCTCCGAAACGGCTGGACCGATTTTGACGGGGCTTTCACTGGCAGATAGCTGAAGTCGTAAGGAGCAAAGGCTACTTTTATTTTAGAAAAATAATTAGGGTTCCTCGCAAAATAATTAATACCCTAAATTACACGCGGGCGAAGTCGCGAGGAACAGCTAGTTATTAATAAGATTAAAGTTCTCTGACCTAGGACATCAGTCCCTCCGTGATCAAAAATGTGAGAAATAAGTGCTGCAAATTGCCCAAAACGTCATGAATTAAAAAAAAGTTAAAATTAAATGCGATTAAAATCTGTACAACTTGTTTTGTTGAATAAAAAGTTATAAGTATTTATTATTGTAAAGATCCTTCGATGTTAGTCATCCATGATCAGTTTTTATTGTGAAATTGCCAATAGTGGAGTTCAAAAAATCATAATCAGGTTCAAAGAAAAAGAAGTGGTAAAATTAAAATTTTTGTAGAACCGACTTTAATAACATCGTCAATGTAGTTGAAGTCAACGAGGGGCACGACTTTTTCTGCCACTATGGCGGCGCCACTAGAAAGTGAGGTATAATATTTGACAGATTTCATAGCGGTGAATTAATTTGTTCGAAAAATGTAAAGTTATCGTTTCTTTCTGTACTATTAGCAATATTTTATATTAATAACATTAAAAATATATCAACCAAATCACAGATATTCATAAAAGTACAAAAATTAAAAAAAGTTAAAAATGTGCAAAAAAATTAAAGAGCAAACCACTGACGCATTGTTTTGTGTATTAATATAATACTCTAGAAACTGATAAACTATTATTAAAAACTAACTTCTCAATTAAATTACATTGTGTAACAAAAACTTTACCTCATTGTCAACTAGCGACATCTGGTGAGCAGAAAATTATTAGGCCTCATTAAATACGCATAATTAAGGATAACTCCAAAAACTATTGGTCAGATCTTGTTAAATTTATATGGGAGCATATGAGAAGTACCAGCTTTCAAAATAAAAACAAATCATCAAAATCGGTTCACCTAGAAAAAAGTTCTGAGGTACACATAAAAAAAACAATCGAATTGAGTATTCCCTCTTTTTTTGAAGACGGTTAAAACTGATTCATTGCAAACGAAGTCGCGAGCACATCTAGTATAGAATATTAACTAACCACAGGCAAAGCAAAGTAAAAAAAAAAACAGCTTAATTTCTTTACAGATTAAAATCTATAAAGGCGAATCTCCTCGGGCAATTCAAGAAGACGTTGCCCGATCACAATCTGAACTATGACAGCTTCAACAAAGAGCTCACCAGTAAAAGCATTCTTATTCCGGCGTCTAGTGAGAAAAAGCCGGACGGGAAAAAAATCGTGTTGCCAGCATCCAAACTGCAACCGCTACCGCCCAATTACGTGATTAAATCTCAAAAATGGCCAACCTTAACCAAACCCGCTGTTAGTCTCGCTGCGAATCTCAACGTAAGCAATAAAGGAATAGATAATATTTATTTGTTCTTTTTTAACATTAGAGGGACAAAAAAAACTTAACGTTACTCCCACATTACGATATTCTCGTGTATCCCGGAGGCAGTTTACATATTGAAGAAGGTCAAACAGTTCTTTTTATTTATAGAATTAGGATGACAAACGAGCACACAGTCTACCCGATGGTAAGTGGATGCTGTGGTCCATATACATCTACATTTTAAAATGCAGATGCGTTGTCACCCCTGAGGACTGAGATGGATGGATACCTCGTTTTCCAGTAAAAATGTTTCCGATTTTCTACGCTCACCATACGTAAAACAGCAGCATTGAGCTGCTATTTCAAGATGGTATTCTGTGAGAGTAACTGCGGTGTCTTTCTGCCACGTATAAATTCGTATTTGTTCTTTTATAACATTAGAGTGGCAAAATGACTTGCATCCCACCTCTTGGGAAGTGGCCACAGTTGTGAACACATAGTGATTTTAGCCTACCATGATTAGTAAAGTTGCCTTTCTGCAACCGTTAACTTGTTGACGTTTCACAAGTCTTTTGCTGAGCATTGGCCTCCCCCAAGGAATGTCACAAAGCACGGTCTCGAGCCACCTGCATCCATCGACTTCCTGCATGTCTTACCATTGCCACTTCAGCTTAAAATAAGTTAGGCTATGTTGATTTCTCTGGTTCTACTGCAAATATCCTAATTTTTAAGTTTATCACGCAGATAATCCCCGTAGCGTTCTCCATAGCTCGCTGAGCGACTTTGAGCTCCCTCATACGTGTAGCTGTGAACAATTTTTTTTTAACTTTTAATCCAATTTAAAAGAACTAAATGGCTGCCACATTAATAGTTTCTGAAATCAGTTTTTTTTTTGTTTTATAGCAGAGGGGGTAAACGAGCATGCGGCTCACCTGATGGTAAGTGACTACCGCGTTGCCGGTTCTAAGACATATATTAGTTGTACAAACGAATAAAAGCCCCCACTTTGGCGGCTATTATGTGTAAATTATTTTATTTTTTTAATACTTTTAAGTCGGCTTTTACTTTTTATCAAAGAAATTGACTCTTAAGGCTAAGGAATATTAGTCACATAAAAAAAAAAAACTTCATCTACTATTTTCCACCCTCAGGGGCAATTTTTTTACAAGTTTATATGTAACCACTCGTGAAGTATAACCTATTTTATGAAACAAATAATCATCGAAATCTGTTCACAATTGAGATAGAATACATACAAAAACATACAGTCCAATTTAGAACTTCCTTCTTTTTTGAAGTCAAATAAAGATGAATGCCTTGGCTTATGAATATTATATATAATATATATATAGTCTGTTCGCTTAGATACGGTCGCCTTTATGTCGCGCCGCCTCGGCACGTGCCGCATCTTATCAAAGGTGCCGCCGCGACTCAAATGTCGACGGCGTACACCCGCAGGATAATTTGGCATCTTAAACCGAAACGCCATAGTGAAAGGTTCCTTGCTACCTAACTTGTTTTTATTATTTATATTCGTATTTTACTACAATAATCACAATAATAAAATAGTATACTATTTTATTCTTAGAATAGAAATACATTTATTTAACAATCACAGTTAAAAAATAAATAAAAGTAAAATAATAAGTGCGCCTCCGGGTGTACCGACACTATCTCAGCGAACAGACTACAATAAATGATTTGCCTGAATCGTTACGCTTGGCAGGGGGGTTGACGATCGTAGTACAACTAGTCCCAGATTTAGTATCCAGTCAACAAAAGTTACTCCAATTCTTTAAAATCTATGGTAATTAATGTTTATCAATATTTGTCAATTTTTCAGCCAGAGATAAGGATATTGTCACCATCTACACTAAACTTGAAAGTTACCGTCGGTTCGTCCGTCCTCACGCAAAGCATCAAAACGACAGGCGCACTGTCAAATAAAACCCTACAGAAAGTCGTCGTACCAATACCAAATCAAAACCCTAAACCTGTGGATACCAATGTGTCGCCAATGAAGTCCCGAACTAGTCAAAGAACGAAAAATATATTGGACGTTGTGACGTCACAGAAGAGCGCAGCAGTGACGTCAACAGTGACGTCAGCACAGCAATCCCTATCCTCGATCGTGACCACGAAAACGAATCCGGTTCTGAGTTTTAACGTGAACACGCTACCCAAAGATTTCTTATCATCGGCGGTCTTGACCAGGATCAGCGATTGCGTATCAAACGATTTAGAAGAAATAATCGAGAAGGTAGAAGGTGACGATGCTAAAATTGAAAATGATTTGGACACCAACGAGGACCAGCCGATGGAAATTGATGAAGGTAATTATGGAAATCACCGGGCGGTGGGGACGTAAGAATTCACCATTGATTTCGTCTCGTGGGTTTTTAAAGTGAAACCTCTTTAGCCGCGTTAACTTATGAGTTCGCGTCACCGATGACCTCGACATGCGTCACTAGCAAGTATATTACGCGTCGCCAGTCTGGCTTGGACATGTAGTATAGCGGCCTGTGCACATGTATACGTATATATCATTGAGTATTCGCTTCTGTCGGCAGTCCTTATGATTGCCTCAGTTTTTTCTTATAGAATAAGGGTGACAAGCGAGCACACACTCCACCTGACGGTAAGTGAATGCTGCGGCCTATAGACATCTACAATTATCCTCGTTTAACAATCAAAATTTACGCTTTGATTGAGGGTTTTCTTCAAAATTAGGAGTCAATAAAAAAAACTACAGAACTATAAAAGTTGTTAATAACAAACGAGTTACCTCGTTCAGCGGTTTTCGAAGCGATCAAGTAAATTAAATATATATTAAAATAAGTATAATTTTTCACCTATCCCGTATAAGAGTATCCACTATTGGAAGACCAAAAAGGTGCTCCCGCGTCTAAGATAATACAACCTAACCAAAACTGGTTATACAATAAAGCATTTAATGATCCACGACTTTTTCTGCCACCAGGGCGGCGCCACTTAAAAGTGAGGTATAATATTTGACAGATTTCATAGCGGGGAAATTAATTTGTTCGGAAAATGTAAAGGTTAATGTTTCTTTCTGTACAATTTGTATTAATAAGATTAAAAATAAATAAACCAAACCACAGATATTAATAAAAGTAGAAAATTAAAAAAAAAAGTTAAAATGTGAAAAAAAAATAAAAGAGCAAACTACTGATGCACTTTTTTTGTTGTTGTTATATTGGCACAACTGTTTTCCATTTTGGCGCGGAGTTTGAGTTACATCTGTTATTTAGATTAAATACAGTGCTGTTTTTAGTTATATCATATATCATATCTAGTGTGTATTGCGAATTTCACAATGGTCAAAAATATTGAACAAAGAGTTTGTCTTAAATTTTGCATAGCCAATGGAATTTCGTGTTCGGAGTCACTGAAAATGTTACAAAAGGCTTACGGTGAATCGACTTTATCAAAAACACGCGTTTAGGAGTGGTTCAAAGCGTTCAAAAGCGGTCGAGGCGTGATGGAAGATTTACCTCGCTCTGGTAGACCATCAACGTCTGCAACTGAAGTTAACATCGCAAAAGTGAAGGAAATAGTAACTGAAAATCCTCAATCAAGTTTGAAAGAGATAGCCACCGAACTTTCTGTATCTCAGGAGTCGATCCGTAGGATTTTAAATAATCACTTGGGTACATTGAGTTATATGTACTACGTACTAGAGAAGCCATTCCGAACATTGACTATGTTCAACTGAACTGTAGTGCAATCAATACAAACTAAATATTGCGTAAATTGAAGATTTGTGAATTCCATAAAATAATTATTATTACATTTTATTTAGAAATATGTTTGTTTAGATTAAATTAAGATATTTTATATTAAATTCTTAGTCTTCGCGCATGCGACTACTACTCCCGAGCATGCGCGAAGACATAGAGTAGGACACAATTTTTGTTTGGAATGGCTTCTCTAGTACGTAGTACATATAACTCAATGCTTGGGTATGAAACATGTTGCCGCTCGGCTAGTCCCAAAAGACCTGTATATTCTCCAAAAACTCAATCAAAACAAATTTCTCCAAAGACTCAAAAGAGTCGCTGAGGACATGCTAGATCGAGTCAATTCCGACCCAACAATCATGAAACGCATTGTTACTGGTGACTAGACGTGGGTTTACGAGTTTGACACGCGAACTAGTCAACAAGCATCGGAGTGGCACCATCCAACTGAACCGAAACCGAAAAAACCACGCCAAAGTCGATCAAAAGTCAAAGTCATGTTGACTGTTTTCTTTGAACATGTGCACTCGGAATTCTTCTCGGGAGGTCAAACGTTAAATAAAGAATATTATTTGAGCGTTATGCGGCATTTAAGAGAGCAAATTAGACGAAAAAGGCCAGATTTGTGGAAAAAAAATTCTTGGATTTTGCACCACTATAATGCGCTACAAATACAGCGCAATATGTAAGCTTTATAAGGCCATAATTGTGAACGAATTTTTACGAAAAAGTCAACAAATACCATCGATCAACTGACTACCTTATTCATCAGATATGGCTCCAGCCGACTTCTTTCTTTTTCCTAAACTCAAATTACCACTTCGTGGCACCCGTTTTCATTCGGTAGAAAAAAAAGGAGAATTCGCAGCGAGAACTGAACTCAATTCCAGAAAAAGCGTATAAAATGTTTTGATGATTGCATTATTCGTTGGAGAAAGTGTATCGTTTCTGAAGAAGCACACTTTTTTTATCGAATGGGTTGACAAACGAGCACACAGTCCACCTGATGATAAGTGGTTGCTCTGGCCCATAGACATCTACATTATCCTCGTTTGCAAATCAAAATGCAGATGCATTGTCACCCGTGAGGACTAAGATGGAATACCTCTTTTCCAGTAAAAAGAGTCTCCGGTTCTCTACACTCACCATACGAAACACAGCAGCGTTAAGCTGTTATTTTACGCTGGTATTTTGTGAGACCGTGGTCCTTCCCCGGTCGAGCCGACCCATTCGTGCTACAACTATACTACTAATATAGCTGCAGCATGGCTCTACCACGTGTGAAATACTATACTTTGAAGGTGATAAAATAAACTCGGATGAATAACTAACATGTTGTGTATTATCGATTTGTCCCGGTACTTTCTTGGCAGAGTAGTATATGCATGTTGAAATGAAAAAAAGTAAATAAAAAATTAAAACCCCGACATCAGAAGCTGATGAGTGGAAATTATTTAATTATTTGAAATGTAATAATAATGGAACTCTTTTTCAGATTGCTCTTTAGCAGTTATAGCAGCGACAGAAGACTGCAATAAGTTGGTTTTCGCAAATGCTTCCGACCAGGTAACTATATATATAATAATTTATTAGCGATTTTTAAAAAATGGTTTAAGTTATGATACGTTTGTGCGATTTAGAACACGTTTTCTCACTCGCACAACTTCCTTGTGGAATCGATTACCACCAGCGATTTTTCCGGACCGTAACCACTTAGGGACCTTCAAGAAAAAAGCCTACTCCTTTTTAAAAGGCCGGCAACGCATCTGCAAATCCCCTGGTTCCCCTGGTGCTGCAGTTGTTCATGGGCGGCGGTAGTCACTTACCATCAGGTGAGCCGCATGCTCGTCTGCCCCCTCTCCTGTAAAAAAAACGCAAACCTCCGACATTAGTTTTTTTTTTAAATAATTATTATTAACAAACGAAATAATAGTCCAACTTTTGGTAAGAGGCTGCAGCCCACATGCACCATTCACACCATTCCTTCCGTTCACAGTGAAGATCTTAAAGGTGGTGTTATTACTTAAATTATAATGACTCAATTATCATTAAAAAGTCCATAAAAACACACATAAATTGTGTAATAGGGGGCTAGAAGGGGGCTATCTCCAGTAGTTGATACACAGGAGACGGTTTGACAACAGGTATTTTTGAATTATTTATTTGTTTATAGAATAAGGGTGACAAACGAGCACACAGTCCACCTGATGGTAAGTGGTTGCTGTGGCCCATACACATCTACATCTATCTTCGTTTGCGAATTAAAATGCAGATGCGTTGTCAGCCGTGAGGACTAAAATCGAATGACTCTTGTTAATGTAATTGGTTAAATAAACTTCCTTCTTTATTATATATTCTATTAATCACCTTTACAGCTTTACACAACATAACTGTATTTATATTAACTTAAAGACAATCATCAAAATCACACAATCACTTTTACATTTCAAGATATACTACGCAACTACATCCGCCAAAGACACACAAACCATAGATACTATAATCAGTGTTGCCAATATAAATGTATAATAACTAACAACTCTTTTCCAGTAAAAAGGGTCTCCGGTTCTCTACACTCACCATACGAAACACAACAGCATTAAGCTGCTATTTTACGCTGGTATTCTGTGAGAGCGTGGTCCTTCCCTGGTCGAGCCGATTCGTGCCACAACTATACTATTAATATAGCTGCAGCATGGCTCTAACACGTATAATTTTTTTTATTAGGCAGGTTTTTATTATTTAGCGCTGTTATCAGGAGGATGCTGCTGTCCATCTTCTGTTTTAATTTCCCGTGTCCGCTCTTACGACACTTTTTAAAGGAATAGTTTGTAATATACAGGTTTCACATGCATTTCTTATAGTATAATTAAAAATTAAAAATTTGTACGTCCGACTAATATATATGATTAAGAATAACTCAAAAATAATTGGTCAAACCTTGATCAAATGTATAAGGGACCACGTGTGAAGCACCAGCTTTCAAATAAAAAATGAATCATCGAAATCTGTTCAACCAGAAAAAAGTTATGAAGTATGCATAAAAATAAGTAAAAAAAAAAGAAAAACATACAGTCGAATTGAGTATCTCCTTTTTGAAGTCGGTAGAAAATGGACCGTATCATTATAACCACCATCACTGCATTTCATCACAAATCCATCGATAATCATCATCGCGAATCAAAGGTCTCACAGATACTAGCGTAAAATATGCTGTGTTTCGTATACGTATCGTATAAAGAACTGGAGACTCTTTTTACTGGAAACGAAGCATTCCTCAGGGTTGACAACGCATCTGCATTTGGATTCTTAATCGATGATAAATGTACACGACTATGGGTCACAGCATCCACTTACCATCAGGTCGACTGTGTGCTCGTTTGTCCATCCTTATTTCATTTAAAAAAGGCCTCCCCAAAAAATGCAACCAAGTACGGTCCTTAGCCACCTACATCCATCGACTTCCTGCATCTTTTAGTAGCACATTCAATATAGTGGATGGTCTCCCACACTTTCCTTATCGTTACGAAACTGCCACCCCATGGATGCACTATTAAAACTGAATCACATTTTTTTTTTTCAGAACGACGACGAGAAGTCGAAGTCAAATAACTATTTCGACGTAAACTTACTTTCTAGCTTGGACAGTTCGACTAACGACGGTCCGGGAAGCGAGTCTCCAGATAAATATGTACTGGGCAAGTTTGAAATATTGGACGAGAGGGATGAGGACGACGGCGAGGAAGAACGTAAGCTTTGCATTTTCAATCTCCCTCTCTTAGGTGATGGTTTACCGTGTAGTGGCTGTGTAAAAATATTCACTGCCCGATATCGTCCCGTGGGTGTTGTAAGAGGCGACAGAGGGAAACCAACCAGGAGATGAGCAGAAGAGACTTCCTAATAACCACATAAAAATGAAAAAACTGCGATTGCCAACCCGCCTGCCAAGCATGGCAATTATGGCAAATATCCTCCCTATGAGGCAATCGATGGGGAGGCATATGTTCAGCAGTGAACTTTTTCTGTGACGTTGTAATGAAAACATTACATTTATAATGCCTGCTCTACACTACTCGCGAAGTAACTTTCACGAAGTGCTCGTCGAAGTCGATCGCAGTCCGAAGAACGTGATTACACACTCGTGTTACTTCGCGAACAGCTCAGTCGTCTTGAGTCTCCCGCACCCTTAACATGAATAACGTTCACGAGGCAGTTGCTATAGATATATAATATAATTGTGTGAAGAGTGCGACGTCAATGTGTTAACTAAAGAAATAATTATGTAGAAAGCTACATATTTAATATTTATATATATGAAAAAAATATTCATAACTGGCGTAAGCCGAGTAGTGTAGTGAGACGCTTCGTGTAAGTTTCGCGAAGTACCCCGAAGTCCTTTGACTCTGTCACAAAAAACCGACAGCAATCGGAAGTTGCCCGAGGCGAAGCGAGGTTGCGAATCGAAGTACCTCTCTACATTATTCGCTTAGTCCAACTTCGATCTATTTCGCGATTAGTGTGGAGGAGGCATTAAAAAAAAATTATCGATTATTCGCTGACCGGGCAAACGTTGTTTTGCCATATACATTATTTCTAGTAAATATTTTTTTAGTTTTAAAAAGTGCGATTAAAAAACAGGGGTTGATCGTGGAAGGGTGAAAATTTGATGTTTTATGTATTTTTCAATGCTAAATCATAATAAAATGAAAATAAAAAAAATAAAAAATAAATATTTAGGCGTGGGTCACCCTTATCATTTAGGGGTTTGAAAAATAGATTCTCCGATCCGATTCTCAGACCTACCCGATATGCACACAAAATTTCATACAAATCGGTTCAGCCGTTTCGGAGGAGTTTGGTAACAAACACCGCGACACGAGAATTTTATATATTAGATTTAACTGATTTTCGATCCGCGCACGACGCATTGCTTACCAGTATTCCTGTGTCAAATTTGTGCAATTTGTTGTAAAATCTGTGCTAAATTTTTGTGCGCGCACTTCTCGTCTGCTAATTGGCTTTCCATACCGTGGAAAAACAAAACTTTTACTTTATTACAATCGGTCCAGCCATTTCGAAGATTAGTTCACACAGACAGACAAACAAACAAAAATTTTAAAAATGGTTACTCTCTTACCGTCGGGTGTGAGTATAGATAGCCACAGTGAGCGAGCAAGAGGCGAGGCCATTTTCAATTCCATTTCTTAACCGCACGGCTAGTAAATTCAATATTCGGTAAAAAAATCTCCAGACGTTGTGGTAGCAATACAACTTTAAATAAATACGGCCTTTCTGTTTAAAAATCAAGACCCACGTTCATTTATAGGCTACTTTAACTTAAAGTTACAGCCTGTATAACTACCACTGCTGGGCATTGTCGATTGCCTGGCTTATTTCTGGGAAGGTTTTTGGGTAAGGAAGTGCCAACCTCGTTGCCCCGATGCGTGTTGGCGAACTGCAAATGACTTCTGTTGACTTTTCTCTACTACTATATCGGGATGCAGGATTGAAACACAGACAGCTAACAGAACCTAACACTTCGAAGTATTTAATTTCTCAGACATGCAGGTTTCCTCGCGATGTTTTCCTTCACCGCCGAGCACGTGGTAAATGAGCACGTAAAATTACGATCAACAATTTCATCGGTGCCTTAGGGAATCGAACCCGATTGTATCCTCAGATGCAGATGCGTTGTCACCCTTGAGGACTAAGAAGAAATGCCTCGTTTGCAGTAAACAGGGTGTCCGATTCACTACACTCACGATACGAAACACAGCAGCGTTGAACTGCTACTTTACGCTGGTATTCTGTGAGAGCGTGGTCTATAGCTGCAGCGATACAAAGAATATTATCTAATGCATAATTAAGGATAAGAATTTTGGTAATAGTCAAATATATGTTGGTTCTTAGGCGAGTTTAAACATTGTCCTTTGTACGTGGTAGAGCCACGTATAAATTTTTAGGACATGACAGAGTTCACCGATAGAAATAAGATTTTACTTTTACTTAAATTTTTTACTTTACCTTTATATATTTTAATGTCTTTATATACTCGTACATATGTTTATCTGTCCCTTTGTTTTAACACAAACCCCCCCCCCCTTCCCCCACGGAAACAAATCAGATGGGCGGCAGCATCTAGACTGTAGCGGTAATATACGCGATAAAATGCGTAAAAAATAGTTTCATGTAATGCTGGTGTTATTTGTTAATGGTTTGCAGATACAATAGTTATGGACGGGGAGAACGGTTCGATTATACACGTGGTGTCTGGACAGAAGTTTTTGTATGGTGATAACGAAATATCGATTATGGTGCCGGAAGGAAGTAGCTTGGACGACAACGATAATGGGGATAGCCAAGGTGAGTAACGATGCTTTGGGTTTTTATACCACAATAGGTGACAAACTCCATTGTTTAAAAGAATCCACTACCCTATATCATCCCGTGAGTGTCGTAAGAGGCGACAGAAGGGAATTGAAACAGGAAACTGATGCGTTGTCACCCGTGAGGACTAAGATGAAATGCCTCGTTTCCAGTAAAAAGGATCTCCGGTTCTCTACACTCACCATACGAAACAGCAGTATTAAGCTGCTATATTACGCTGGTATTCTGTGAGAGCGTGGTCCTTCACATATTAAGGCAGCTTTTGTTATATTTAACGAGCCTAGGACAAGTTTGTCTGGGTCACGACGGTTTCGAGGATATATATCACTTGCTTTAACAAATAATGACTTATTTTTAAAAACGACTTTCAGATTCAAACGACGAGCAAATAGAGTTGCAAGTGGCCGGCGATGAGGAAACTGCTAACGCAATCATTGCGGCTGCACAGGAACAGGGTAAGCAGTTACTTGAGTGCTTTAATTTTCAACTTTATTATGTTATTTTTTATGTATGTTTCCAACTGTAAACCGATTTTAATGATTCCTTTTATTAAATAAGTTATATTTACTAGGGTGGTACCACTGATATTGTAATTTTTTAGTTACTCATGTAAAAGTAATGTATCTACGGTTGTACACGCTTCTAGCTGCCCCAACATAGGTCGACCATACAGGGGCCCATACAGCTGTAGTATCGACGGACAGCAGAGGACGGGGCCCTACGGCCTATGGAGACTTATTATTCTACAAAATAGATATAAGGCTAGGTAACTAAATAGTACGTACCTGGTTCCGAAGCGAAGACTGGCCACAAGGCTCGGTCAGGCGGTAGGTGTAGTGTATGTAAGTGGTGTTTAGTGGTGTGTAAAATGTGAAACCTGACTTAACCCTTTTAATCGGCAGCAGCCCTGACTCCGGCACCGCCACACGGTGTGGTATCCTCCAGCGGCGTCACCTCGATGTCACTCAAAGTCTAGCGTCCCTTAGCACAAATCTATAATCTAATACGAACGCTGTTTCTCGCGGGTCACAAAGTTTAGCGTTTTTAAACGACACAGGAAAATATCTCCGAGTTCCATCAAATGCCACAAAGCAACTCGTCGACGCAAATTAATATTGTCAAGCACTTCAACCGGCAATCACTATACAATTTACGTAAATTACTTGCCAACGAATTTAGGTTAATCAATCAAAATATTACTGCTTCCTTATCGCGTGAACGCACTAAAGATAACCAATACTAGAAGTGAAAAACTCCAATAGTAAATTCTACACGTCCTTTCGACCGACACTATTCCAGTCTATCAACTTTATTGCTTATATAATTAAGTTCATCGAAATCAAACACGTGACACACGACACAAGTAACGAACCGTCGGTCAAAGTTCAATGGTATGTTCACTTAGCAACAAATTATAATCGAGCACACGCGGTCTACTTTCGAGTGACAAAGTTCAGCGTTTTAAACAACAAACTAAATTCCTTCGTACGATATTACATACCACACCCGCAATCAGAACTCAAAATTCGCCTCGTTGACACGTAAAGCAATAGGAAACAGTCGACACACAAAAGGCACTTAACGCGACGTTACAAATCAACATTAACTTCCAAAAACAATTAACCGATCCGCGCCGTCAATCTATTTTTCTAAATTCAACAAATACCTCGTCGGTGCATAAAAACTTGCTAACAAAACAGACACTACATAGAGGTTATACGGGACGAGACCACGCTGTGCTAGTCACTGCACTACAATGATCACTTCCGACACGCCCCGCTAGCAACCAATCCGATCTCGCACGAACGTCAAAACCGGTAGGAAATCACCGCGCTGAGCGCCCTCTGGCGTCGATTCTTGAAATTAGCGTTTGGCGCGAACAACGGTTATTCCTAAATCGGAAACGCATCTTCATTTATCCATCCCAGACGGGGTGGATAATCGGAATGCGTATATTGTCTTCCGATTTTCCCCATCGGCTGTGAATAGAATAGAATCATTTTTATTCAATATAGATTACAAAACTACTTATTGAAAGTCATTTTTAGTTGTAAAAAAAATCTCTTTCCTGGAAAGAACCAGCAAGAAACCCAGCGGGAGTTTCTTTTTCATATAATCAATTTACAAAATATTATTTTATACAATTGGTATGAAGACATTAGAAAGGTCATTCCCAGTTTTTATTAATCCTGTACTTTTTAGTAGTATAATAACCCTTAGCAAACAATTTTTACTTAATAAAATTAAAAAAAAATTAAAACTTTTTGATAGATAAGGCCTGCATATTTTCATGGTCTGTGTTGTAAAAGCGTATACATTGTCCCATGAAGGAATCACCGATTCTTTGGAGTCGAGTAACTGATGTACTATGTAAAGTAATTTATAGAAACATGATAAAATTTTGCTCACGATACTTCGTAGACATTAATTAGCATACCTATAAAAAATATTTGGAAGTATTGTTTTTATATGAATAGGGTGATAAACGAGCATACAGTCCACCTGATGGTAAGTGGTTGCTGAAGCCCATAGACATCTACATCGCAGTAGCGTCGTCACTCGTGTCCAGAATGCCTCGGTTCCAGTAAAAAGGGTCTCCGGTTCTCTACACTCACCATACGAAACACAGCAGCGTTAAGCTGTGAGAGCGTGGTCCTTCCCCGGTCGAGCCGACCCATTCGTGCTAAAACTATACCAATAAATAGCTGCAGTATGGCTCTACCACGTCCAAAAAGACTAGAAATATAATAAAAAGTAAAGACTAGAAATGAGTTGTGGGGGTGGGGGTGAATAGAACTTTAGGCCTAGTCAGTTTGAATAGCCTATCATGTAGAGTTGTAGAGAATGTCATGGGGGTCATGGTTGAATAGGGGCATAAAGTTTTCATTACACTCCTAGGGGGTCAAAATGGCCAAAAACCAAAAAAATTAATATACTTATTTCGCCTATAACTCCGCCTCCTTCGGAGGTTCTTACAGTCTTTATTTCCCGCATCCCACCAGATACATACTTGTTATTTGAAAGGTTAAAGCTGAAATAAAAGGAGTGCCTCACAGAACTACAAATTCATTGGAATCTTCTCATAAAACTATTACAAATGAAGTAAAAGATCCAAATTTATTAGTTTTTCCAATTCTTGCAATAAAACGCAGAGTTTTCCGCTAACACATCTGTTGTAGCGTAGAAATTTAGAAAACGATTGCAAATGTACATTAAAGGTGACAAATTTATCCAGGTTATACCACTGCGTCTGCTCAATAATGTAATTAGTGTTGGTCATTTCCTGGACATATTGCAGAATTTATAAATTATTTACTATTATTTTAAACGAGGAAGTTTAATTTGGTTTAAACGCAATACATAATGTGATTATAAAAATTATTAAATTAAGTAAAGTTATTAACAATTAATAAAGCTATTAACAATAATAATGTGCTTGGGGTAAAAAGCGGAACAACAATCAAAAAGTGAATTACGATTATTTACTCCAGAGCCATCCCATCTAAAATCCATCTAAATGAACACGCGTTTCCGAGTATCCACCCTAGGGTGAATGATTTTTTAGGGTGGATAAACGGAATGACCCGTTTCTAACTTGTATTTTGTGTACGTCAATTGTCTGTTTTTTTTATAGGATAAGGGTGACAAACGAGCACACAGTCTACCTGATGGTAAGTGGTTGCTGCGGCCCATAGACATCTACGTCTATCCTCTATTACAAATCAAAATGCAGATGCATTGTCACCCGTGAGGACTAAGATGGAATGCCTCATTTCCAGTAAAAAGGGTCTCCGGTTATCTACACTCACCATACGAAACACAGTAGCGTTAAGCTGCTATTTTACGCTGGTATTCTGTGAGAGCCTGGTCCTTTCCCGGTCGAGCCGACCCATTCGTGCTACAACTATACTACTAATATAGCTGCAGCATGATTCTACCACGTAAAAATGTGCCAAATAAAGCGTGGTTTTTTCTTTCTTTCTGAAAAATATGAGCTTTAATGTCATTACCCAAAGAGAAAAAAGGACTTTGCATTTGTAACTGGTTCAGGATTATATAGTGCTCGTGTGTATGCGCAAGCACAGGTGCACTCTCTATTCCCTCACTCTCTTAGGTCCAATGGGAACTCTCAAACCAAATAACAGACTTTGTCTTGACCTGTGATTTGAACCCGGGCCTCATGGTCAGCAGTAGCGTTTACGATAACTAGACTAATGAGACAATTGTGGACTCTAGCCCATATCTAGTTCCTATAATAAATCATCTGCAATTCACCTGGTTCCCCTGGTGTTGCAGTTGTTCATGGGCGGCGGTAGTCACTTACTATCAGGTGAGTCGCATGCTCGTTTGCCCCCTCTCCTATAAAAAAATATACAAAGTAATAAAGGAACACAATATCATATGGGTATAAGATTATATTTTCTGTTTCAACCAGGCGGAGCATTCATAAAGGTGGAATCGGGAGAGATGTTCCAAGTCAAGTCTGTTGAGAGCAAGACTGAGGAAGACCAAGATGACGTCTGCAATGATGATTTACAAATGGTAAGTTTTGTTCCTCATTCGTTCATTTATTGGCAGTAATTGTAAATGTTAGACCCGTATCACTTGTAAATCGAAACCGGTTTACAGTAGGTATAATACCTTTTATGGTAATCTTTATATTTCATATTATATATCATATTAATGTTATATCATATGAATTATCATGTCACAATTAATATTGTCGAATATCGCGTGCAGTTGACATTTTAAATTTTGGGAAAAAATGGGACATATTTTTTGTTTATCGGTATTTATATAGCCAACCCATTGCCATTTCACTTTAATATTCCGTTGGGCTATGTCAGTTACTCTGGTTCTACTGCGAATATCTTCATTTCTAACTTTATCGCGTAGAGATACCCCTCTCCAATTAAAAATTTTTACATGTTTTTTTGATGATAGTTTGTCTAACATTAAAAAAAAAACATAAACCTAAGAATGTCTTTATATAGCACTTAGGGAAGCACCATTTTTTTTTATTTATTTAAATTGTTTTATTAAATTTTATAACAGTGTACCTAGATTTAAGTATCTGTATCTATATTTCCCTCCCTAATAATATTCTATTAAAGTCTTACTCATAAAACAGCGTTTTATTGTAATACATAATTATAAAATTCAGTATCAACTAATTAAGAAAAATATGCAACAATAAAACTACATAGGTATTAAAAACTATCGAAATCTAAGTAACGAGAGAATGTTGGTCGTTCCAGATTTAAATTATATAAAAATACGTTTTTCAATTTCACTAATCAACGTCGCCGCGAAAATTTCTTCTTCTTTGGGCACTTTAAAAATTAATTTATTTCGAAAACAATATTTACAGTTACCAGTGTACAGATATTAACTAAATTAAGTAAAAATCCATTAAAATATTTCTTTACGTTTACGAGGAGTCCATGTACGATGTTTTTGCTTATTTTAAAATAAGGGGATAAATTAACAAACTCAAATGATTTTAATTACAGGTGGTAGCTCAAGATAATGGACAGTTCAAGTGTTTGCTATGCGAGAAAAACCAATCCAAAGGTAAGTCTCATTGATAATATTTAGATAAAAGTTGAAATATTTGAAAATATTATTTACCGAGCATAGTGATGAATTTAAAAATGAGGATATCGGTAGTAGAACCAGAGTAACCGACACAGTCCAACGGATTAGTAAGCTGAAGTGGCAATGGGCCGGCCATATTACTCGAAAAACCGACAATCGATGGGGAAGAAAGGTCGAGTGGCAGCCTCGTACCGGCAGGTGAAGTGTAGGGCGACCCCCCACTAGATGGAGTGACGACCTGGTAACACATGCAGGAAGTCAATGGATGCGGGTGGCTCAGGACCGTGCTTTGTGGCATTCCTTGGGGGAGACTTGTGTTCAACAGTAGACTTAGGAATGGAATGTAATGATGATTATGATGATTATTTACCGTACGGCAAATATCGTATGCATGTTTATGTATAGCATAGCAAGTAATAGTCTTAGATGTAAGAGTCTAATAATGTAAGATAATTATGAAATGTTTGGGCACACTTTGTCTTTATTTTTTAAGCATTATTAATTTTATGTACGCGTCCCTGTATACACACACTCTCGTTTATTCAGTATGGTTGCGAACGCCGAGAAGATGGACGCCTTACAAATTACGGCAGCTGTTATCCTATGTGTTATCGGTTATTACAATTACACGTGCACATATACAATACAAAAATAAAAAGGGCGTAAACGGTGATGTAGGATGCTCACTATGCATCGAAATAAAACAACTAACCACAGTTTAAAAATACCCTCTTTAAACTGAGGGCGAACGACACGGGAATGTAGAGTAACGCATTCGCGTCGCCTCGCGAGGGTAAACGAGACCCTTTGACTCGCAACGGAGAGCAGACGGAGCGAGGCGAGACTAATAAAGACGAAGCGAATGTAGCGTGTATACTCTTGCACTCGTCAGGCCTCGCGGTGCCTCGAGGAGAGTGTACAGCCAACATAATATTATGTACATACTTATACATAAGTTAAAAGCACATTTATTAAACAAGATCATATTTATAACTAGAAGAAACACTTTAACAAGTGTTGCACTGTCAATATTTTTGTGACACTTTCTTTTTATACATGTTTTCAGTTTTCGATTGTTCAATTTAATTATGTAGTATATTTGCATTCGGATAAAAAAATTATCAAAAAAAAAAATAAGGAGAGCATAAGCATGATCGTCATTTGAATTCAATTTTACTTAGTAACTCATAATTACAAAAGTAATTCACCGTTATAGATATTATATTTATTGAAAACGGCACTGAAAATGAGTTAAATAAGTACTATAAAACACGCTCGCGCCAGCCGTATGTATTGTCTATCAGACTGAATGGACTGTGCTAGCACAAGGTCGGCTCGCCCCTTGCCCCGCAGTGCCCCCACCGTTGCTCTGCACAAATAAATTCGTTACCCAACTGTAAGGTCTTTAAACTGTGGCATAAGCCTCCCCATAGATTGCCTCATATGGCGAATATTTGTCATAATTTTCACGATTGGCTGCCGGATTGGCAACCGCAGTTAAATTTTTTATTTTGATCTTTTATTAGGAAAATATGTCTGAAGTGGTATAGCCATGCTGCAGCTATATTAGTAGTATAGTTGTTGCACGAATGGGTCGTCTCGACTGGGGAAGGACCACGCTCTCACAGAATACCAGCGCAATATAGCAGGTTAACGCAGCTGTGTTTCGTATGGTGTGTGTAGAGAACCGGAGACCCTTTTTACTGGAAAAGAGTCATTACATCTTAGTCCTCACTGGTGACAACGTATCTGCATTTTGCTTCTTTATTGAGGAGAGATGTAGATCTCTATGGGTCACAGTAATCACTTACCATCAGGTGGACTGTGTCACTCTATCACTTATAAAAAAGGTGCTGTTGCCCATCTTCTGTTTAATTTTTTTACGGGTATATTATTAGCAATGTTGTATTGCATGTAGGCGGAGAGAGTTTCAGCGGCGACGCGGCGGCCACGATGCAACATCTTCGCTCCGTGCACGACGCGCGGCTGCATATCTGCGCCATTTGCGGCCAAGTGCTAAGGAAAAAGGCCGACTATCTCAGTCATTTAGGTATTTGCAATTCTTCTTAATTCTGTTTTTTCAACTGTCTATTTCTTTCTTTATATATAGAACAATGGTGACAAACGAACACACAGTCCAGCTGACGGTATGTGGATACTTTGGCCCATAGACAACTAAATCTATCCTCGGTTAAGAATCTAAATTCTTCTTCTTATCTCGACCGTTTATGTATTTCTAATACTTCTTAATTCTTAATTTTATTTTAGGCTACGTTTTACTGAGCTTTTCATATTATGTATGATCACTTAAAATAGGGTTGCCATGATCAAATTTTAAAAACCAGTGTTTGTAGCTGGGAATACCAGGACATTTCGGTTTAAGAACAGAACAGAAATAAGTAATAGTAATACGCAATGAAAACAAGGTCAATGAAACTCAACTAAAAGTTTTTTTTTTTTTACTTTACAAATTTTACACACCAGAAACACAGCGTCTGTAATTCATTCATGGATCACTGTATTCTTTTACAACATCATCAGTACAGCTTTTCATAAGTCCGCTGCTGAACATAGGCCTCCCCCAAGGAATGTCACAAAGCACTGTCCTGAACCAACTACACGCATCGACTTCCTGCATGTCTTACTAGGTCGTCATTCTATCTAGTAGCGGCACGCCCTAGACGTTTATTTTACAACAAAGTCCCAGAAAATATACAAGTTCTGTCTCTATTACAAAGTTTAAATTTTTACTTAATTAAGACTGTATAAAAATGTTATTATAATATAAATGAATATTTGATAATACCCTCTGAGAATGAGATGATCGCTTCCTAAATGAGTTTTATAGGTTTGGTAAGCTAGCAGTTATGAAGGTCTAATAAGACTAGATTAGTTCACTGTAGACTATAGTTCAATGTAGACTATAGTTCACTATAGACTAAGGTTCACAGCAAAGCCCTATGTCTTTAATGAATTGAAGGAGTTGCTTAGCTGTGAGCAATTTCACTCTTTCTGGGCTAAGTACGTATTTTCCTGGATGAGTGTGACGTTTGCGCATTAAGGGTCCACACTCCACAATGAGTTAGGATGTGCAGAGGTGTTTCTTCCCTTAATGGACAGAATCGGCATATCCTTAAGCAGTAGCCACTTACCATTAGGTAATCTGCTAGTTCATTTGTCACTTTAGTTTTATAAAAAAAAAACATTTGTGCAGTTTCGCACGCGGTAGAAGTGAAAATGGTTTCTTTAACATGATAATTTCCAACCACATGCGAACACACAACACAAATGCGGCATAAAATATAAGATAAATGTTTAATTTTATTTTTATAGCATATAAATGTTATAATCCTTATTTTTTGGTAGTTTTGTAGTGTACAGTCCAAATTTAGATCAAAAGAATATTTTCTTTCGAGTATAATTGCTTTGTAAAGCGCCATCTACTTCATTCTATAGGTAGAGTCAATTTATCGAATGAAAATTAATGAACTTCAAGGTAGTACGTTAAATAGACGCTAGATGGCCTAAACACGACTAATTTAATATAATATGCTATCTCATTCTCTCGCAGGCTAAATCCTATAGATGTATGTTTGTCTCTTTTTAGCGTCGTTTTCCCGTTTCATCGAGTTTCAAATCATGACGATTCTAAGGCCCGTATTAGTAAACGTTACTCAACGACGAACTCAAGTGCGTAATCATTTGATACGCCCTCATTGCGATATCAGCATCTCAAGATCGTTGTTAATTAATAAACACATAAAAACAGTATCTCAAAAGGCCTGTACTTAGGAATACTGTTCTGTGACTTGCTCTCAAGTACACACACTTGAGAGTCGAATTTCGTTTATTAATCAGTGTGGCACTCAGCAGATATCGTAAACCTAAACCGCATCTTGAGATATGTTTATATAAGATCATAATCTCAAGACTGTACTCAAGTGCGTGTCTTGAGCTGAGTAATGTTTATTAATACGGGCCTAAGTAAGTTTCTTACATTCATTATTTCATTCGTCTTTCCTTCATTCTGTCGTTCATTTTTGTTTCAGAGAAGCACTCGAACAAACTGCAAAGCGATAAAAGCAAGGCCCACGAGTGTACAATATGTAAAAAGAAATACAGGTAAGCCGTCGTCATCTTCCTTACAGCATCACAAGTCCTCTGCTGAACGCAGGATTCCCCCAAGGAATAACGAATGAAGTAAAATTGACAAGACGTAAAATATCACAGAATACCAGCGTAAAATAGCAGCTTAACGCTGCTGTGTTTCGCATGGTGAGTGTAGAGAACCGGAGACTCTTTTTACTGGAAACGAGGCATTCCATATTAGTCCTGACGGGTGACAACGCATCTGCATTTTGATTTGTAATAGAGGATAAATGTAGATGTCTAAGGGTCACATCAACCACTTACCATCAGGTGGACTGTGTGCACGTTTGTCACCCGATCCTATGAAAAAAAACGATCTTACAGTTCACGTGATGGTAAGTGGCTGCTGCAGTCCATGGACACTTGTAGTCAACTTCAAACAAATAAAACTACAAATGCGTTGTTATCTTTAAGGACAAAGGAGGAACGTCATATAGCCTGTAATTATACGTGCGCTCTATAGTCTTCAGGTCGGAATACAGCAATGTACACACTGCTTTTTGGCAGCAGAAATAGGGAAGAGGTGGATTCTTAGGTCTAGAGATCTACCACCTAGCTAGATTTCTTGCATCTCTTAGGTACATTTATCCTTAACGTGTTTTGCGTGGTAGAGCCATGCTGCAGCTATATTACTGGTATAGTTGTAACACGAATGGGTCGGCTCGACCGGGGAAGGACCACGCTCTCACAGAATACCAGCGTAAAATGGCAGCTTGACACTGCTGTGTTTCCTATGGTGAGTGTAGAGAACCGGAGACCCTTTTTACTGCAAATGATGCGTTCCATCTTATTTCTCACGGGTAACAACGCAACTGTATTTTGATTCGTAATTGAGAATAGACGTAGATGTCTTTGAGCCACATCATCGACTTACGAAACGAAAAAACGAAACACAGCAGCATTAAGCTCCTATTTTACGATGGTATTCTGTGGAAGGCGTGGTCCTTCCCCGGACGCGTCGACGCATTCGTGGTACAACTATATAATTAATGTAGTTTCAGCATGACTCTACCACGTATCATCATCATCATCATCATTACAGCCCTTCACAAGTCCACTGCTGAACATAGGCCTCCCCCAAAGAATGCCACAAAGCACGGTCCTGAGCCACCTGCATCCATCGACTTCCTGCATGTCTTACCAGGTCGTCACTCCATCTCGTGGGGGGACGCCCTACACTTCGCCTATCCGATATATTCGATATCCGCAGTAGAACCAGAGTAACCGACATAGCCCAACGGATTAGTAAGCTGAAGTGGCAGTGGGCCGGCCATATAGCTCGAAGAACCGACAACCGATGGGGAAGAAAGGTTCTCGAGTGGCAGCCTCGTACCACGTATATATGATGTAAAATACCTAACTAATAATTTAGAGAGTAATATTAACCCTTTTATTTTCCTAACAATAACTTCCCCCGTCATAAAATCTTTTTTTATAGGATAGGGTGACAAAAGAGCATACAGTCCACCTGATGGTGAGTGGTTGCTGTGACCCATAGACATCTACATCTATCCTCAACTACGAATCAAAATGCGGATGAGTTGTCGACTGTGAGGACTAAGATGGAATGCCTCGTTTCCACTAAATAGGGTGGTTCTCCGGTTGGTTCGCCGCTGAAACTCTCTCCGCCTACATGCAATACAACATTGCTAATAATATATCCGTAAAAATATGAAACAGAAGATGGGCAACAGCACCTTTTTTATAAGTGATAGGGTGACACAGTCCACCTGATGGTAAGTGATTACTGTGACCCATAGACATCTACATCTCTCCTCAATAAAGAATCAAAATGCAGATGCGTCGTCACCCGTGAGAACTAAGATGGAATGACTTTTTTTCAGTAAAATGGGTCTCCGGTTCTCTACACTCACCATGCGAAACACAGCAGTATCAAGCTGCCATTTGACGCTGGTATTCTGTGAGAGCGTGGTCCTTCGTCTGTCAAATATTTCACTTCATTTTTAAGTGGCGCTGCCTTGGTGGGGTTAAAAGTTGCGGAGCCCCTTATTGTACGGTGCGGACTGCGAACTTTAAAAGTCGTGGGTTCAAATCGGCTGTTCGAATATTGTTGTGAACCACTCTTAACGCGATCGTTTTATTAAAGTATTAGTAACGTTAATAGAGTTGTAGTATTTTTTTTTAAATATGGGGAGTTCGTTTTTCAGTGGTAGACTTGTGAAAGGCTGTAACGGTTTAGCGTAGTGATGTTACTTATCGCAAATACTACAACAGACACACACAGACACACATTCAATCTTTATGTTTAGTCACAGAATAAATAATAGTACTACGTAGTATAGTCTGTTCGCTAAGATATTGTCAGTACACCCAGAGGAGCACTTTTATTTTGCTTTTATTTTTTTTACTGTTTGTTAAATAAATGTTTTTTTTTATTCTAAGAATAAAATAGATATTAATAGGTAATATTTTATTCTTATGGTTATTGTAATAAAATATGAATATAAATAATAAAAACGAGTTAGGTAGCAAAGAACCATTCACTACGGCGCTTCGTTTTAAAACGTTTAAAAATTGAAGATACTGAATAAAGAATTTTGAATTTCAACGGTGGATCGATCAGCTCGCGGCAGCTGCTAGGCGAGCACATGAACTCGCACAGCGGCAGCCGCCCGCACTCCTGCCCCGTGTGCGCCAAGAGCTTCGCCTCCAAGTACACGTACCAGTCGCATCTCAAGACGCATCTGGTGAGTACCACCCCCACCCCCCTCCCCCTACACCCTACACAAACACACACACACAACCACAGAATATATAATAGACACAACGTAAACAATACCTGGCAACTACCAGTGCTTGACTAGTGTAAAAAAAAACTTCTTCATTGCATGGTGCAAACCGCACTATTTAAAAAAAAAACATATTTTTTTATAGGAGACGAGCATGCGGCTCACCTGATGGTAAGTAACTACCGCCGCCCATGAACAAATGCAACACCAGGGGAATTGCAGATGCGTTGCCGGCCTTTTAAAAAGGAGTAGGCTCTTTTCTTGAAGGTCCCTAAGTCGTATCGGTCCGGAAAAATCGCTGATTTTAATCAATTCCACAAGGAAGTTGTGCGAAGAAGAAAATTTCTTCTAAATCGCACAGTGTTGGACCGCCAATCATCCAGATGGTGTGGATGGTATCGGGAGTTCTGCCGCGATGTGTGTTCGTGAAATTTGACGGCTGGGATTAATCCGAACAATTCCTCAGAGCACTCCCCATGGTAAATGCGATAAAATACGCAAAGAAATGCAACATCTCTACGCACTGCCAGTGAGTGAAGCCGATTTAGAATAAAAGTGACAAACGAGCACACAGTACACTGATGGTAAGTGGATACTGTGGCCCACAGACATCTACATCTATTCTTGATTAAGAATCAAAATGCAGATGCGTTGTGAACCCTGATTAATAGGATGGAATGCCTCGTATCCAATACAAAGGGTCACCGGTTCACTGCACTCATCATACGAAACAACATCATTAAACTGCTGTATTTTATGTGCGTGTTGCTGTTTCACGCTAGTATTCTGTGAGAGCGTGGTCCTTCCCCGCAGCAGGCCCATTCGTGCTACAACCGTAATATAGCTGTATAGCAAGGCTCTACCACATCTAACTATCTGTTTAGTTACAACTTTTAATAACACATACATAATCTACTATATAAAAAAAAAAATTAAATTTGTTCGTATTTTGCGCTGCCATACCTTTCATCAGATTGCTCTAAAACTTTGTTAACTTATTGCTTGCACTTGTGAGAAGGTTATAGGCATAGTACAATTAACTTACAGTAGTTGGCGCGCGTATCGTACCAACAAAAATTTATTTAAAAGTTATATATCACTCAACTTCAAGGAATGTTTTATCATTCCTAATTGAACAATATAACTCTCCCAAATTTAAAACAATATTTCGACAATTATTTTTTCTGTAGCAGCAACACGCCGGGTAACCAGCTAGTAAAGTATAAATTTTAAATTATGTCATTAAATATATCTATATATTTAATGACATAATTTATAATATATAATATACATATATAATATGCAATTTAATGTCGAAATAGCTGCCTTTTATAGAGGTTTTGTTGAGGGTTTGTTGCATGCCAGTAAGATATAACCAATCATTTTTAGGGTTCCGTAGCCAAATGTGCGTGTAGTAATGTGCGTTGCTATTAGCAAGTTTAAATGTTTTGTTAAGCTGAAACTGTATAAAAAGGGTTATTATAGTATAAATTAATACATGGTTGATAATAACCCCTGGGAATGAGGTGATCGCTTCCAAGCTGTTTCTAAAATAAATTTTGTACTTATATAGTTTGTATAACCATTAATGTAAAATTTGCTTTAAAAAAACGTCCCGCTGGGTTTCTTGCTGGTTCATCCCAGGACAGAGGTTTTTTTTTCGAACTAGTGGTAAAGTAAAAAATCACTTTCAAAAAGAATTACACATGTGATCTATATTGAATAAAAAATTATTCTATTCTATTCTATTCTAATAGCAAAAAACGGAACCCTTATGGGTTCGTCATGTCTGTCTGTCTGTCTGTCCGTCCGTATGTCACAGCCACTTTTATCCGAAACTATAAGAACTATGCTGTTGAAACTTGGTAAGTAGATGTATTCTGTGAACCGCATTAACATTTTCACACAAAAATAGAAAAAAAGAACAATAAATTTTGGAGGTTATATATAGGAATACTTAGAACTGAAACTCAAAAAAAATATTTTCATCAAACACGTGTGGGGTAGTCAAAAATGATAGGTCTTCAAAAATGATATTGAGGTTTGTTATATCATTTTTTTCTAAACTCAATAGTTTGTACGAGAGACACTTCCAAATTGGTATAATGTGTCCCCCCCCCCTGTAAATTCTAAAATAAGAGAATTTACTAAAAAAAAAATATGATGTACATTACCATGTAAAAAAGTTTTTTTTAATACGTCATAAATTGTAAATTATGTTACCTGCTGCTACGGAACCCTTCATGGGCGAGTCCGACTCGCACTTGGCTGCTTTTTTAAGATTTGTGTCTGTCTGTCCGGTCAGACCTGATTGTAATTAAACTTCACGAACAGAGAGTAATACCAGGAAAGATCTGGGCTATATTTTGTACGAAAAACTTGAAGATTTTTAATGCATAACAAAACATTGCTAAATTAAATGGTCTTTTATTATCTTAAATCTTATAATAACACCACAATAATAGATTCTATCCAGATGAAACTGGGCCAAGTCGGTAGTGACATAATAATACAAACAGTTTGATGCATATTAGCATCAATTTTAACTGGAGTTAGCCGTCGATTTGAGATAACTTACGTGGTAGAGCCATGATGCAGCTGTATAAGTAGTATAGTTGTAGCACGAATGGGTCGGCTCGACCGGGGAAGGACCACGCTCTCACAGAATACCAGCGTAAAATAAGTAAGCGTAGGTTCGAAGTGAAAACCACGAATGCAAAATTATAACTGATTTGATTTATTTTTGACTAGTTGTACCCCGCGACTTCGCCCGCGTGTAATTTGGTTTTAATTTTTTTGCGCGGAAGCCTAAATCCTTTTCTAAAATAAGAGTAGCCTAAATTACTCCTTATAATATTAGCTATCTGCCAGTGAAAGTCGCGTTAAAATCGGTCCAGCCGTTTCGGAGATTAGTCGGAACAAACAGACAAACAAAAGTTTTAAAAATTGTGTTTTTGTTATAAGCACTGTATATACTTTCATATGCATTTAGTAAAAAGCTGTTATTTTGACATTACAAACAGACACTTCAATTTTATTTATTTGTATGTATAGGTAGATAAATGAGCCTATAATAATAAAAGTTAAATATAGGTTAACAATGTTTATCTTTGTATTAGTTTCATGGTATATTCTTACTATAAGCGAAGACCATAAATGGTTAAATATTTTAGGTTCATATTACAGGATTCTTATTACAGTAACACGGTCCTTACATGTTATACACATGTTTAGGCTCGTACTACTTTGTTTATTTCTTATGTACCGTAGTTTTTTATACGTGGTAGAGCCATGCTGCATCCAGTATAGTTGTAACAAGAATGGGTCTGCTCGACCGGGGAAGGACCACGCTCTCACAGAATACCAGCGTCAAATAGCAGCTTAACACTGCTGTGTTTCGTATGGTGAGTGTAGAGAACCGGAGACCCTTTTTACTGGAAAAGAGGCATTTCATCTTAGTCCTCACGGGTGGCAACGCATCTGCATTTTGATTCGCAGACGAGAATAAATGTAGATGTCTATGGGCCACAGCAGCTACTTACCATCAGGTGGACTGTGTGCTGGTTTGTCACCCTATACTATTTAAAAAAAACCTACTATATCAACACCACTCAGGATCGCTATATTTATTTTATGCCTGAGTTATATTTCTGTTATCCGTGCAATTGTTAGCTATCGGTTGATATTTGTTCTTATCTTTTGTAGGATCGACCACGTCCATTCAAATGCGACCAGTGTGGGAAATCCTTCCTTACACAGCAAAATCTCAACCAGCACGAAAAAACGCATTCAGGTGTTAAGGACTTTGTCTGCAATGTTTGCAGTAAGTATTTTAAATTGCTTACTTAATGTAATTTTTAAAATGGTAATAGTCACAATCAACCACACAGGCCATCTGTGTGATATGAGGGCGCTGTGGCCTTCATTTATCATAGGTTTAGAATCAAATGCAGTCTGAGGACTAACCTGACCGGTTCACCGTGGTCTATAATTACATACAAATATAAAAACGTCTAATTTAACAACACGCGAGCGATCCGGGTTCGATCCTCATCAGCATTTATGAAACTGTCATTAACTACTTGTTGGGTGGTGAAGGAAAACATAGTGAGGAAACCTTTGACTGACAACACGCATTGAGGCAGCGCGGCGGACATTTGCCGTTTTTACGCGGATTGGACATTATTACGTGCCAAAGCCATGCTAGAGCTATATTGCGGTTGCAGCAAGAATGAGTCGGCTCAACCGAAGAAGGACCACGCTCTCACAGAATACGTACCAGCGTAAAATAGTAGCTTAATGCGCTGTGTTTCATATGGTGAGTGTAGAGAACCGGAGACCTTTTTTACTTTAAACGAGTCATTCCATCTTAGTCCTCAAGGGTGACAACGCATTCACATTTTTATTCTTAATTGATGATTGATTTAGATGTCTTATGAGTCACAGCATCTACTTACCATCAGAGGCTGTGTTTTCGTTTGTCACCTTTATTCTATAAAAAAAATCCTTTCCCTAAAACCCACTCAGACTTAATATAAGGCCCGAGCCCAGCACTGGGACGTTTAGACAGTAACTTTACTTTTTTATCATCCTATAACACCTATAAAAGCACACAGTTCCAGTTTGTTTCATTATTTTCAGACAAAGCCTTCGGTACCCAACACAACCTCGAAGTTCACGGCGTGGTGCATTCAGGCAATCGGCCATTTGTATGTGGTGTTTGTGGGAAGGCATTCGCGAGACGAGCTGAAGTTAGAGACCACATGCGCATTCACACCGGTGAGATATTAGATCTGTAGTTAGAAGCGCAAAGACTATTTTTTTTAATTACAGCCTATTCGCAATCTTCTGTTGAATATAAGTTTCCCCGATAGATTGCCTCAATGAGCGGATATTTGCCATAGTGCCACGCAGTTATTCATCTCCTAGATTCCAGTTTCCCTTTGTTGCCTCTTACGACAACCAAGGGATGGCAGGGGGTGGTAAATTCAATTACACCGCAACTACACGTCGTGGACTACATGATACATTTAATTTAGAAACTGTTTGGCATTTTTTTGTTGTTTAAAAAGCGTTACCCCCATTGTAGGGTTTTCTCTACAGGATACAGGTATTGAGGTGAAAAATTGGCCTCTAAAAAGCTTGGCGTGTTCAGTAGACCGGAACAGTATTTAATGCGGGCACACCGCCTGCAACTTTACAATGCGCAAGTTCGACCTCACATATACCATTATGTGTTCTCATCTCTGGCGCACCCCAATGTCAGCTCCTTCCACTTGACCACATCCAGTGAAGTGCGGCCCAAATCCGAGTTCACAACCAAGTTGACAACCAAGTTCTTTCTGATTGGCTTGGCTAACTGGCGCTGCAAAAAACATTTGCATATTTTTGCATATTCGTTTCGTTTGCCAAGAGGAGGGCTCACAGAAAACATTCATACAAATTCCATTTGACATTAAAAACATTCTCTGTAAAAATACCGAACAATGAATAGCTTGACTAGTCTCCATACCGAACCACCAGTCTCTAATTGATTATTTGCGATAGCAATTATTCGCGGTATCTCTACAATTAACACGCAAAAAAACTTACCTTTTGGCGTAGTTTGAGGTGATTTTTTTACTCCATAGTTTAAATCTTTCCTTACGTTTAACGACTAATATAAATAACAACAAAAATCAGTAAACGTAATGCCATAGGTATTAATTGTGACTTACCTAATGTGTTCGATTGCATGAATCATGATTCACTATTAAACAAATTAAGGCATTATGGTTTCTAAATTTTACAGCAAACCTTATAAAATAATAACTGTCTCACCGGTTGCAAAAAGTGATTAAATATGGAACCGAGTCTTGTGGAGCACCCTGAATTATGGGTGTGCCCCAAGGGGCAATATTGGGACCATTATTCTTTTTACCTGATTGCACAAAAGGAGGGTAATATTTTTCCACATGTAAGGATAATGTATTTATGTATGTCTAATTATTTGACACGCTCTGTAGCCTAATCGGCTTGATGGATTTTAACATATGGGCTGTCTGTGTGATAGGGTATAAAATTTTTCTCTTTTTAGGAATTTTTTTACGCACTCGGTTTTTTTAATCACTAGTTTAACGATATGGTTTGTTAATATATGTTAATGATCTGGCTTTTCACGCTAAAAAGTATGTAACACAGTATTGTTTGCTAATGATAACTCTCTAATCTGTTCAACTATTTTTTTTTTACTTATGACTGATCAAGTGATGTCCTAATGCGTTACCGTTACGACTTCTTATAACCATCTACTTTATTTGTGAAGAAAATTTAATCGATTTAACACATTGAAATTTTATGTTTTATCGACGTTTTGTATTGTTTTATAAACATACTCAGACTTTTAAATGACCTCAGTTCCCCCATACCACTAAAGTTCTACTTTACAATATATGTGCTAGTGTGACGCCTAAAAACTGGACGAGTGTCGTCGAAAGAATAAAAAGGAAGACATTATCTGATTGAAGTTGGTTTGACAATTTGTGTACTTAAGAATTAATAATTAAAGTTACCAAGGATTCAAGTGATTTTTGGGGTTCATACGGAGAAGAATCCGACGATTCATTATAATAAAATAATATTAAAGTATTTTAGTTGTAAAAGGCATTCGAATGAAAAAAAAGGTTATCTATACATACAAATAAATAAAAATTGAAGTGTCTGTTTGTAAGGCCAAAATTAAAGTTTTTTACTAAATGCATATGAAAGTAAATACGATACGTATAACTAAAATACAATTTTTAAAATTTTTGTCTGTCTGTCTGTCTGTTTGTTCCGGGTCCGAATCCTCCGAAACGGCTAGACCGATTTTGACGGGACTTTCACTGGCAGATAGCTGATTTCATAAGGAGTAACTTCGGCTACTTTTATTTTAGAAAAAGTATTAGGATTTCGCGCAAAAACAGCGAACGAAGTCGCGGGGAACAGCTAGTTCTAAATAAGATGGTATTTAAATCATAAGAATGCTTGTACATATTAAAAAACTTTCTTAAATTTTCATGATTTATGTATATACAATTTTTAAGGTTAAAAAACGGTTTTGAGAAAAATAAATTTTTTTGTACGTGGTAGTGCCATACTGCAGCTATATTTCCACGCTCTCACAGAATACCAGCGTAAAATAGCGGCTTGATGCTGCTGTGTTTCGTATGGTGAGTGTAGAGAACCGGAGAACCTTTTTACTGGAAACGAGGCATTCCATCTTAGTCTTCACGGGTGACAACGCATCTGCATTTTGATTCGTAATCGAGGATAAATGTAGATGTTTATGGGCCACAGCAACCACTTATCATCAGGTGGACTGTGTGCTCGTTTGTCACCCCATCCTATAAAAAAACGTGTGAGTTTTTGAAGTGTTCAGTTTCGTTGCTATTTGAAACTCCATGAAACGAAAAAGCGACACTAATAATTTAAAATTAAAGAATAACTCAAAAACTATTAGTCAGACCTTGATCAAATTTATATGGGACCACATGTAAAGCACCAGCTTTCAAATAAAAAATCATCGAAATTGGTTCACCCAGATAAAACTTAGTGTACTAACATTAAAAAAAAAACACACAGTCGAATTGAGTACGTCCTCCTGTTTGAAGTCTGTAGAAAAGAGACAAACATACATCTGTAGGATTAAAGGCGGCTACTGACCTACCTGCCGCAGGGGCAATCTAGGGAGCACAGCGATCGGAGCAATATCGGAGCTGTCTCTACACACATGCCTGCCGTTCACCCGTCAGTATGAGAGTGTACGTCTCGCTGGACGCACGCGTTGAGAATGGCGCCAGTTTTATCGAAATATCAATGAATCGGTATATATAGCTTTGGCTCTTTTTTATATAGAATAAGGGTGACAAATGAGCACAGTCCACCTGATGGTAAGTGGGCACTATGGCCCATAGACACCCACATTTATCAATAAAACAACTTTTTTTTTGTTTTTTTTTTGTTTTAGAAACGTTACCCCCACACTAGGATTTTCTCCTGTGTCGTGGAGGCAGTTTACAAACATAAATTGCACAAGGACAATTATCCAGACCAGGAACAATTATTTGTAAGCCATACAAATATTTGTTCCGTGCGGGATTCGAACCCGCGGCCCCCAGCGCAACATCTGATTGCTAAGCCACTGCGCCACGGAGCCGTCAACTAATTAATAAATAATTACAACCATAATATAATCCTTATAAGCTGCAGCATAGCTCTGCCACGCTATTTTTAGGCTATCAAAGACAATTAAATATGACTAATTTCACTCGTGTTCTGTGTTATAACTTAACTAACTAGTGCATAGTAACTATAATTTAACTAGTGTTACAAATAGCCGAGATAGTTTTCTAATGAAGAGTTTTAATAAATTTATTTACTAAAATTTGTATTTTTCTTTAATTATTTAGTTAATGACATTTTATTTATATTCCAGCAATTTTAATACTATTGGAATATTTTCTTTCCCATACTAGCCCTTATGATAAGTTATGGTAAGAAATCCCAGTAATGTTACTTATAAGTTACAACGTTTAAGTAACGTTCTTTCTGCGGTTCTAACTTGTACTCATACGTGTGCTCCGCGCGAAAGTCGCAACGAACTGATTGAAATTGCCCCAATTCCGCTACACGCGACAGCGGCAGGGCCGATCTAGGGAGCAAGGAAGGTCTTGCGTTCCTGCCGCCCTGCCGCAGTGTATACTTAAAAATTGCCCTTGCTTGCCTACACACATCACAATTAAGGAGGCGATTAAGGGTCATCCCCACTCCTACACCCTAGATTGCCCCTGTAGCAGGCATGTCAGTAGCCGCCTTTAGCCTGCGAGAGAATGAGTTAGAATGCCGTATAGTGTTTCCTATTATTTATTATATAATATCTAATTATAATGTATAAAATAATTTTTAAGCTTTGTAGCAATATTATAATAAATAAACCCTACAATTATACTGCTGATACATTCGTCTCATTCTCTCAAAGCTGAATTTTACATGTTTCACTTTTACCGCGTGTAAACTGCACATAATTATGTTTTACCGCCTCTCTCAAGGTCTATCATAGTAGAGAGTTGTAGAAACGATAACATACTTTTATGCCTTTTAAAAGTGTTCCGTAAAGGTCAATTTTAAATAAAATATTTTGACTGGACTTGACTTAAAACGAAACACTGACTATAACGAATTTATGAATATAACTAAAAACAAACAAACAAACATAAATTACAACTAAGAAGTACTAAAAAGAACCAAAACTAAAGCAATTAGCTTCAACTTGTGATTAAAAAAACAGTTGGCAAATGTACCTTCTCGCTAAAAATATTTTAATCATTATTTAAGAGAGTTTCTAATGTTTTAAAAAATACGTATTTTGAGCGGCCAGCAACACAACTTTGTGTGGCCAATACTATTGTTACGAGCTTGGGGTTTGAGACAATTAAAAACAGCCGAGTGATTTACCAAAATTGACACTTTAATTACAGAGCACTAATTACAACTTAAACCACACTAATAATAAAACACAATTGTACTACTGATCACATTAGTTCGCAGTTGTATCGCTTCGAAGTATTCGCTTATATCGCCAATTCACTACTGCGGTCGCGGTCTATACCGGCCTTATATAGGGCCTCGGATATTTTCCAGAACCTTCTTCTGTAGAAACATCTAGAATGTTCGAGTACATATCGGTCCCGTTTGACTAGGTGTCTATAATTTCAGAAAGTTCTTCCATGGAAATTTCTAGAAGGTTTTTGACTCTCCTAGTTCTGCTACTCGATATAAGAGGGCTCTAGTGGTATTAATTATGGCGCGCAACACTATGTAGAGACTTACATATTTGTTTTAGTTTATTTGTCATATTTATATTATTTTGAGTTTTTGTTAGTAAGTTGTTGTTGCCAGTCATCTGCCTATCGGCATTTCCCTCTTGCGCCTCTTGGGACTCCCTTCGGATGACACTGATGCTTCTACAGAGCGTCAAATAATCCCCTTCTTGGTAATTAGTCACCAATTTTTTTTCTTTGGTAATGAACTCGTACTGTTGTTGTTATGTCAGTGTCAAGAGATTATTCTTTAATATAATTTGTTTACATCACGTTGATGTGTAAGCGAAGTTTTTTTTATAAATTTTGACTTGAGGCTCACATCACCATCGCTGCACTTGTTTGATCGTTCCGTTGCTGTTTAATTACATGAAATCGCACCACGTTTACGTATCAAAACCCACTTCAAATCATTATTCGAACGCTAAAACAAGATCTTTGGCGGTCAAGTTCCCGCTAAAACTCCATCACCGCTTAAATTAAATGGAATAACGTTTGCGTGCAGGCGAGCGTCCGTTCGCGTGTGACGTGTGCGGCGCGCGCTTCACGCAGCGCTCCAACCTGCACTCGCACCGGCGCGCCACGCACCTGGACGACCGGCGCCACCGCTGCCAGCTCTGCCCCAAGCGCTTCAAGCGCCGCAGGTAGCTCGCTGCAGTGCGCGTGCGAGCGCTGCAAGCGCTGCAAGCGCACCGCTCGCTGCACGCAGCGCTCCAACCTGCACTCGCACCGGCGCGCCACGCACCTGGACGACCGGCGCCACCGCTGCCAGCTCTGCCCCAAGCGCTTCAAGCGCCGCAGGTAGCTCGCTGCAGTGCGCGTGCGAGCGCTGCAAGCGCTGCAAGCGCACCGCTCGCTGCACGCAGCGCTCCAACCTGCACTCGCACCGGCGCGCCACGCACCTGGACGACCGGCGCCACCGCTGCCAGCTCTGCCCCAAGCGCTTCAAGCGCCGCAGGTAGCTCGCTGCAGTGCGCGTGCGAGCGCTGCAAGCGCTGCAAGCGCACCGCTCGCTGCACGCAGCGCTCCAACCTGCACTCGCACCGGCGCGCCACGCACCTGGACGACCGGCGCCACCGCTGCCAGCTCTGCCCCAAGCGCTTCAAGCGCCGCAGGTAGCTCGCTGCAGTGCGCGTGCGAGCGCTGCAAGCGCACCGCTCGCTGCACGCAGCGCTCCAACCTGCACTCGCACCGGCGCGCCACGCACCTGGACGACCGGCGCCACCGCTGCCAGCTCTGCCCCAAGCGCTTCAAGCGCCGCAGGTAGCTCGCTGCAGTGCGCGTGCGAGCGCTGCAAGCGCTGCAAGCGCACCGCTCGCTGCACGCAGCGCTCCAACCTGCACTCGCACCGGCGCGCCACGCACCTGGACGACCGGCGCCACCGCTGCCAGCTCTGCCCCAAGCGCTTCAAGCGCCGCAGGTAGCTCGCTGCAGTGCGCGTGCGAGCGCTGCAAGCGCTGCAAGCGCACCGCTCGCTGCACGCAGCGCTCCAACCTGCACTCGCACCGGCGCGCCACGCACCTGGACGACCGGCGCCACCGCTGCCAGCTCTGCCCCAAGCGCTTCAAGCGCCGCAGGTAGCTCGCTGCAGTGCGCGTGCGAGCGCTGCAAGCGCTGCAAGCGCACCGCTCGCTGCACGCAGCGCTCCAACCTGCACTCGCACCGGCGCGCCACGCACCTGGACGACCGGCGCCACCGCTGCCAGCTCTGCCCCAAGCGCTTCAAGCGCCGCAGGTAGCTCGCTGCAGTGCGCGTGCGAGCGCTGCAAGCGCTGCAAGCGCACCGCTCGCTGCACGCAGCGCTCCAACCTGCACTCGCACCGGCGCGCCACGCACCTGGACGACCGGCGCCACCGCTGCCAGCTCTGCCCCAAGCGCTTCAAGCGCCGCAGGTAGCTCGCTGCAGTGCGCGTGCGAGCGCTGCAAGCGCTGCAAGCGCACCGCTCGCTGCACGCAGCGCTCCAACCTGCACTCGCACCGGCGCGCCACGCACCTGGACGACCGGCGCCACCGCTGCCAGCTCTGCCCCAAGCGCTTCAAGCGCCGCAGGTAGCTCGCTGCAGTGCGCGTGCGAGCGCTGCAAGCGCTGCAAGCGCACCGCTCGCTGCACGCAGCGCTCCAACCTGCACTCGCACCGGCGAGAACTGAACCGGACCGCAGCTATTATGTTAACAAAGCAGCGTCCTCAGCTGCATGCGTACATCGACTTCCTGCATCTTAAACAAAACAATGCCTTTAGTGTTTTATTCTTTAATTTTCTACACATTTTTAACTAATTTTAATTGTTCTGGTTTCGGGACTCTCATCATCATCATCATCATTACAGCCCTTCACAAGTCTACTGCTGAACATAGGCCTCCCCCAAGGAATGCCACTAATTTTTTCGGGACTCTACTTAAAATAAAACTTTTCCAAAAAATTCACTTCCCCGTTATGTAATCTGTCAATTCTCTTCATTCCTAAATTTCGCCGGCCTGGTGACAAAAAAGATCTTGAACCATTCGCTTGCGGAGCGTGATGAATAAGGCAAATTTTCTCTACCATATGAGGATCCTCATATCCAGTCGGTACAGGATGATGAAGACGAAGATGATGAAATTAACAATAATCGTAATAGAGTATTTTTTTTTATGTGTACCAGATTGCTCGACTACCACGTGAAAGCGTCACACACAGGCGAGCGGCCATTACAGTGCGAAGTGTGTCAAGCCACCTTCGTGTATCCTGAACATTTCAAGAAGCACATGCGCATACACAGCGGTGAAAAGCCCTACCTTTGCGAGGTGAGAAAATAGCACCTTGCGTTTACTTTTTTATAGGATATGACAAATGAGCACATAGTCCACCCGATGGTAAGAGGATGCTGTGGGCCATAGACATATACATAATATGTATATTCTCGATTAAAAATCAAAATGCAGGTGCTTCTCCAATTCTCTACACTCGCGATACGTAACACAGCAGCATTAAGCTGCTATTTCACGCTGGGGAACCTGATGGTCATCATAACCATTATATAGATGCACTATGGCTCTACCAGTTACTAGTTTCGGACTTGAAACGAACATGTAACTAACTATTGAACCAATACAATATTGCATGCCTTAAGCGCCTAAGCGCGTCGGTATGTTCTACTAGCGCCTAAAAATTAAGATTCCAACGTTTTGTCGCATGAAATCGTATCTAGCAATCATATTGTACATATAAGTTATATAAAAAGCACATTGTCAGAAAGATAAACGATTGTTAAACGTATTATTTTTTTTAAATCGATTAATTGCTATTTTTAAATAAAAAAGGGGTTTTAGTGGCTTATGGTGTGGATTTATCAAGTCCGCATGGAGTGGTAAACACGATAACTTTTGAAAATATCAATTGTTCAAATCAATATATTTTTAAAACTCTTCATCTATCATTTGGGAAGCCATGGAATGTAAATGGCAGTTTAATTTTGTTTAGTTTAGTTATAACGAAATGACGAAATTTTCGGTGTATTTGGTAGCCTTGTATGAATAAATTATTACTAAATAGAGACAGCGTCACTCAGTTAGTTCGGTGTCAATCGCCGTTGTGAGTGGACATTGTTTCGGTTGTTTGCAGCGGCTCAAAAAGATCGCTGTACAAATACACAATATTCGAGTAACCAAATTTCTTAAATACTTGATTATAATAATAATGAGATTTTTTTATTACAATATTTTAAAAGCACAGAATAAATAATAGTAGTACGTACTAAAAGTAAGTAGTATCAATTTTGTCGTCATGGGTGTCATTTTCATGGTTTTCGAGGGTGTTGAAACCGACAGGGTTGTCGAAATGTAAATCCAAGATAGCGGCTGCAATAGGTATCAATTTTTTCATCATGGGTGTCATTTGCATGGTTTTCGCGGGTGTTGAAGCCGATAGTGCTGTCGAAATGTAAATCCAAGATGGCGGCTGCAATAGGTATCAATTGTTTCATCATGGGTATCATTTTCATGGTTTTCGGGGGTGCTGAAGCCGATAGTGCTGTCGAAATGTAAATCCAAGGTGGCGGCTGCAATAGGTATCAATTTTTTCATCATGGGTGTCATTTTCATGGTTTTCGGGGGTGCTGAAGCCGATAGTGCTGTCGAAATGTAAATCCGAGGTGGCGGCTGCAATAGGTATCAATTTTTTCATCATGGGTGTCATTTTTTTTTAATTTTTTCAGGACAACAAACAATTACATAATAATGCTTAAACCAAAAAACATTTTATAAATAATATTAGTTATTATGTAACCAGCACCGTTATCCACAAGTAATATTAAATTGGTAACAGTAAATAATAAATGCACAATAAACAGAGTTTAAGTGAAAAAGGGAAAATGAAATAAAATTTACAGTACTCAGTAACATAAAAATCAAAATGAGACAAAAGGAAAAAAAAATTGCTATTGTAAAATATTTTAAGATACTACTGAATGTCTACCAACTTTCTTAGAACGTTCTTGCGAAATTGTAACTCTGATGAAGTGAATAGATCAATATTTGAAAAATGCATGTTATATACTTTCATAATACGTCTTAATGGGGCGCGTTCACCTGTACTGGTTTTACATAGTGTAGGCGCAAACGATTTATGTGTATACACGTCTCCAATGCGTTAAGAACGTCTAGAGACACGGATATATATTTTGTTAAGTAGTTCACTACACTCTAAATCATTTCGAATTATTTTGAATAATAGTATTACATCAAAGTATATTCTTCTTGCTTTTAAAGTATGAATTGAAAACTTTTTTAATAAGTTGCGATATGATGATTTAGCGTGATTTTAATTTATAAAACGATATTTATAATTTATAAAACGAAGAAACTTTGCTTGTAATGATTCTAGAAGTATTATTTATTATAATAGGGGTTCCATACTTGCGTTGCATATTCTATTTGTGGTCTAATATTGATTTTAATGAAATGAAATTGTTTGCAACTTACAATTGATAAAAAAATTTGAAACGAGCAAAGTCGTTGGATTTTTGCAGTAATGTGTGTTTGGAGTACATGTATTCCCGTCATACTGTAGGCTGTAGCCACTCAATGTGGGGTAGATTTTCATGGGTTTCGAGGGTGTTGGAGCCGATAGTGCTGTCGAAATGTATTTAAACTACTTTAAAAAATTCCGTATAATCATGTTATACGTAATTTTTTTAATGCGCTTAGGGCATGCTCAATTGGATTTACCAATCTTTTTTTAGTTATCACGCGGGTGGTATGAGAAAATGGTTCAAACAATCCCCTTAAAGTCTAGTAGAAGCCAGTTATACATTGAATTTCTTTATTCTTTAGGGTATATGATCTTATAGATATTGATGATTGGATTTCTTTATTATTTCCCAGGTGTGCGGCAAATCGTTCAACTCGCGCGACAACAGAAACACGCACCGTTTCGTACACAGCAGCAAGAAGCCGTACGAGTGCGTTGTTTGCGGCGCCGGCTACATGCGCAAACAGCTGCTGTACCATCACATGAACACTAGCGTGAGTACCAATACCTACTCCATCACAGACTATCAGAAGTCCACTGCTGAACAGAGATCTCTTCCATAGATTGACTTGTGGGAGGGGGGGAGGGGAGGAAAAAGCAGTTTTATTTAGTTGTAAGATACTGCTGCCAATAACCTGGTTTGTTTCCCTCTGTCGCCTCTTACAACGACCACGGGACGATACAGGGTAAAGTCCGGTCGCCCAACACGACGAATTTTGTACAATGACCCATCATTACTTGTCTTAACATTGTTATCTACCGACTTCAAAAAGGAGACGGTACTCAGTTCGACTGTATGTTTTTTTATGTGTGTTACCTCATAACTTTTTACTGGATGAACCAATTTCGATGATTCTTTTTTTATTTGAAAGCTGGTGCTTCACATGTGGTCCCATATAAATTTGATCAAGGTCTGACCAATAGTTTGTGTACAAATTGTACAAATGTCGTTGTACAAATTAGATATTAAATAGGTAATTACAGAAACATTTGTTACCAACACGTGTTCACAACACAAAAATTGGTAACAAAACTTTGGTGGAGATGCGGAAAAATGTGGAATGAGTTTTTTATGTAACTACATATTATTAGTATTTAGACGACATTTTGAGCTTGTGATATTCCTTGTTAGTCTAGTGGATGTAGTAGTGAGACTGCTGGTCATGAGGTCCCGGGTTCGAATCTCGGGTCGGCCCAAAAGAAAATCAGTTATCGAGTTTTTAAATGAAGAAATTTTCAGTAGCTGCCCGGAGTCAGGAAGTTGACGGTGTTTCACCCCCGTGCCTCGGAAAGCACGTAAAGCCGTTGGTCCTGCGTCAGATCTCCCTCCGGTTGTGTCGGTTTACCGTCCCCTCGGACTTAAAGAGTGCACCTGTGCTTGCGCATACACTCTGGCACTATAACCCTGTCCTGTGCAGATGGCTAGTCTCCGTTGAGACTGGCCGCCGTGACCGAAATTCGGTCTGGAGGACATTATTCCTTACTCCACTCAAAAGTGTAAATAAATTATATGTATAATAATATCTATCGATAGCCATAAGATGTTTCTAATATATCTCATTGTCGCCTTTTACGACACTCGCAGGATGAAATATTGTCTCGAAGGACCATTAATATTATTTAGGGAATCCCAACTAAATTAAATAAGGGAATCCGAACTAAACAATTCATTATTAATTTAATAATGAATTGTTTAGTTGGGATTCTCTACACGGAAGTAGTTTATTTACTGAGTGCAAATAGAAAGACCATAATAATAAATAAAATATTGAAAGTTTGACTAGATTCAGAAAGTGAAATAAAATGTGGTTCTTTTCCTTGATAGTAATGCACTGATCGTTCGTAAGCTCGTTAAGTTAAAAGTAAGTTCAGGTTTTGCAAGCAAAAGCAAAGCAGCCGTTAATTAAACCAAACAAAATGATTATCTGGAGAAGATGGATTCTCTTAGGTTGCCAGGAAACGACTTATTGCTTAACTCTGATAATGTATTTTTATTTTCTTATTTCAGGGTCATTTAGCCGAGTCCATAGTCGTGAATCAACCAAGAGTTTCGACGATCCCCGAAAATGTAAGCAATTATTTCAATGTTATATGCTTCTATACGAACGTATATTTTCTTTTATTTTTATTTTTTTCTTTTATTTTATTAGATACACAATCTGCAGCTATATAATAGTAGTAGCACGAATGGGTCCGCTCGACCTGGGAAGGACCACACTCTCACAGATTACCAGCGTGAAATAGCAGCTTAATGCTGCTGTGTTTCGTATGGTGAGTGTAGAGAACCGGAGACCCTTTTTACAGGAACGAGGCGTTCCATCTTAGTCCTCGGGGGTGACATCGCATCTGCTAAAAATGATAAATATAAATGCCTATGGGTCACAGTATCCATTTACCAACGGTTGGACTGTGTGCTCGTTGGTCACTCAATGCTATATAAAAAAAAAGTATTTTCGTTTAATATAGTGAAATGTAAAAGAACATAGGTACAGATCATTCTTTATTCATTCTTCTCTTTATACTTGACATTAAAGTGACGCTGTTCGAAGGATTTCATATAGTCCTTGGTAAATAATTTTTAAATATTAGTAGAGCTTCGAACAAAACCAGTTTCGGTTTCTCATCGTAACGATTTCTATTGTACGAGTACACAAAACAATGGCTCACCGCTATATTCTTTAAATTTTGTACACATTTTAATTTTTTTTTAATTCTTCTACCTCTAAGAATATCCGTAGTTTGGTTTATCCATTTCCAATATAACTAATATTTCAGAGAGAAACCTTAAATTTCTACAATTTTATTACAAATTAACTTCCCTCGCTATGAAATCTGTCAAATATTTCTTCTCATTCCTAAAGCCTCGGTCACACATAGCGAATACTCGCAGCGAGCATTCGCTGTGTGTGACAGGGTACTCGCTGCGAGTAGCCATTACGTTCCAGACTACACGCATGTGCATAGGTCGTTTCGTTGCTGCATGATACGTGTGTACGTAGGTCAATAAAATGAGTTAACCGATAAACGATTCTCTAAAATGGATAAATTACGATATAATTCCTTTCTTGGGTGTGTATAGAAAAAATGGGGAACCGTTTGACACAAATATCAGTAATTTAAAAAAAAACGCAAAGGCAGACTTTCTTCATAGTTTAACGAATTAATTGATTTGGGATTTGTAATAGCAACCCAAGAGCAATTGAAAAGAAAATTTAAGAATATAAAACATACATATTATAGATAATTCTCGTGTAGTACTCGCTGTGTGTGACAGGCAGGCAGAGAATTGTCGCTGCGAGTAATATTCGCAGCGAATACACTCGCAGCGAATATTCGCTGTGTGTGACCGAAGCTTTAGTGGCGCCGCACTGGTAGCAGAAAAAGTCGTGGATACCGTAATTATTACGAGCATTAGTGACTTGTAGATACGTAACACAACTCGGATAATTAAATGTAATCACAGTTATGTTTGGGAAAGAATACACCGCCATTGTTTCTTCGCCTAAACCTTGGAAGACATCATCATCGTATGTCTCTTCGGGTCGAATTTAGTAATTGTTTTTAAACTAAGTTCCCGATGAGCTAGAGAATTGAAATTTTGAACATACCTCAGCATCGAATGACAATGTAAGAATAATATGGAAAAGTGATAAATTAAAAATTATTAGTATAATTTAAAAAATTAAAAAATATTTAAAATATAATTTTTTTAAATATTTCATTTTTTAAAATATTTCATTTTTTAAATCGGTTGTTTCAGGTTGTAACAACTTCAACGCCAGTCGTGTTGGACTCTGGCAATGGATATGCAGAGAAGTTCACGGACGCGGTAAGTTTCATGCTTTGGTGAGAACCTACTGAGTCATACCTTCTGGTTTAAAATCAATGCTTAGTTTTAAGTTTTAAACTTGACATCAGTAACAAACAACGAGATGTATTTAACGCGCAAGACAAGAATTATTGCGTTTGTTGATAACTTCACTCTCTAATCCTTATTGTGGTACTATCGATAAAACAAATATATGTCGGAGAACTTCAACAGAGGATTCTAATTTTGATCTCGGAAATACATCAGGATAGCGTTAACTGTTAAAAATAATAAAAGTTTAAGAGCGGATGTTCAACTTGTTCTCTTGCTTACGCAGTTAATCATTATCAGTAGTAAGACAGCGTAAACGCACTATACATTAAGTATAGAGCAATTACAGTTCGACCACCGTAACACGTCTCCGCCACAATCACACACCAGCGTAACGTGAGGTACGTAATTACATGATAACACCAAAAGGCTTAGCTTTCCATTGACGTCAGTGGAGTTTGGTGTTGATACGTATTTTTACAGAAAGATTACACTATTATAAGCACACACACAAAGTCTCAATATACGGAAACGCGTAATTTTTGAGAAAAGAATAATTGAAAATCAATTATTCTTGCAATGTTTATGTCTAATCTGCTAATAAACTGGCGCCATTTTGTAATGTCATTGTCGACGTCAATAGGGATGTCGATTCTTTCCGAAAAAGGTCGATTTTTAAATCGATTCAAATCGTAAGCTGATGTATCGGTTCACAAAAAATCGATTTCTAAAATATCTATATTTTTTTAATGTTTCTATTTATAATGTAAATATAAGCCCATTTTATGAAAAACAAGAAAGATACCATGATAAATGATCTCTTATTGAAATTTGTTTTATTTAACAGTACCTATTAGGGCAGATAACAAATAAAATAGGTTAGGTTCAACTTATGTCAAAGGACCGAATTGATTGACCCCGACTCCACCTGGTACGAGTCTGTCCTACCCCTAGAGTGGTTTTATAGAACCGGAGGCGCGTAGGGGGAGCAGCCTCCGCCTGCTGTAACAAATCGTAGTCATAGCATCGGACGAGCCGGAGCGGCTCAGGCTGGTCGCCGAAGGCGACCAACAAGCCGAAGCTGCGGAGGCGAGGAGGGATGCCTGCGATTTGTTACGCTAAGGCGTAGAGGTTGCTCTTCCCGCAGCGCCGGAGACGTAGCAGTCTCAAAATAGATACAGAAATCCTTATAAATCAGTCCCCTTATTTTTTTCTCATAAAATGGATTTATATTTACATTATAAATGCAAACATGAAAAAAATATCGATATTTTAGAAATCGATTTTTTGGGAATCGATACATCAGCTTACGATTTGAATCGATTTAAAAATCGACCTTTTTCGGAAAGAATCGACATCCCTATTGACCTCGACAATAACATTACAAAATGGCGCCAGTTTATTAGCAGATTAGACATAAACATTGCAAGAATAATTGATTTTCAATTATTCTTTTCTCAAAAATTACGCGTTTCCGTATATTGAGACTATGTGTGTGTGCTTATAATAGTGTAATCTTTCTGTAAAAATACGTATCAACACCAAACTCCACTGACGTCAATGGAAAGTCGTACCCACCAAAATATGTAAACCAACAGCAACACTACTTATCTTAATGTAACACAGGGCAGCCTCTCAACAACACCAATCCTCCTTACCTGCACTAGAAGAATTACAACAACTAACAGAACCACGACACTATCTTAGCACTAGTAGAATGACCACACTCGTTGAATGACTTAAGCGGAATGTCTCGCGCATAGCGCCTACAGTGAACTTTGTACAGCACAAACAAGTGGGAGTTTCTCGATATACCCTCATGTCCACCTCGATCCAACCGGGTGTTTTATAGACGCTCCGACATATATATCGAGATTATTTAGCCAACTTTAAAAAAAGATTACGCGATGTCTTCGTCAATTGGGAACCGATTTTGATGATATTTTTTTTTTAATAAATAGATTAAATTTCAGAGGTGGTCCTATAAAGAATGGAGATAAAATTCAACCCTTACAAAATTTGCAAAATATTGTTGGCAAAATAGGGATTTTTTTCTATGTAACTACTACTTTAAACTCGTTTCTTGAAGGTCCGGAAATATCGCCGATTGTATACGATTAAACAAAGAAGTGGTGCGAGGAAGGAAACTCCTAATAAAATAGTCCAAAACTGCTAGTGTAAAAGCCTTTTTTCCTTCTTGGTCTGACGAACACGAAACAAAATGTCACTTTGACGAACCTTATTTATGTATTTTTATTTATCAACCGACTTCAAAAAAGGAAGAGGTACTCAATTCGACTGTATTTTTTATGTCTGTTGCCTCAGTACTTTTTTTAGGTGAACCGATTTTGATCATTCTTTTTTCATTTGAAAGATTTATCATGTTGTGGTCCCGTATAAATTTGATCAAGATCTGACCAGTAGTTTTTGGGTCATCCTTAATAATGCGTATTTAATTGACTTCGACTACATTGATGATGTTCTCATTTTGTTTATATTGAAATCGGTTGCACAACATTTTTAATTTTATCTCTTGTTTATCCTTTATTGCAACCGACCTTCGACTAGGGGTAATAGTAACAAAGGGCGGACTTAATGCCCTATGACATTCTCTACCAGTTGACCCTTAGAAAGATGAAATGAATAAAGATGTTGGTAGGTTGCAAATTAAGGACAATAAAAAAATTTAGGTACCTTACCATGCGCACTAAATATAATTTTATTTTCAAAGACTGTTTCGTTCTGCCTTCACAGATGTTCGAAGCAACAGAGGCACTACAAGCGCAATCCACTGAGAAATCCATTGGTAAGTATTCATGATCTGGATGTCCCGTATTCGATTTCACGTAGAAAATAAATTAGTTTTTATTACATTTGGGAATTTATTTAATGTTTATAATTGCAGCAACATTTTTACGGTATGTTCTTTATTAAGATAAAATTTACTTGTGGAAATATTTCTAAGCTTTCTCTGAGAAGGTTAAATGCCGTTGCAAATTTAAAAGGTTCCTAGGTTAGTCTAATTTTAGGGATTTTATCGCATTTCATTGTTTAATGTTCACTTAACTATATTTATCACTTACCTATTACCGGGCAAAGCCGGGGCGAGCTGCTAGTGGAAATATAAAATGAAATAATAACTCGAACTCTACTATAACTTGACGAACTCGATTATAACTCGATTCGAGAGATTGCCTCATAGTTTACTTGGCAATCGCAGTATTTTATATTTTTAGCCGTTAGTAGGAAGACGCTGCTGCCCATGCTTTGTTTCCCTTTGTCACCTCTTACGACACCCACGGGATGAAATGGGGTAGTGGACATTCTTACCGCCACTACACTGACAAACTTAATAATACTGTTACGAGCTTCGGGTTCGAGACAATTAAGAACTACCGAGTGAATTACCAAAATTGATACTTTAATTACAGAACACTAATTACAACTCAAAACCACAGTGATAACAAAACACTGATCACTAAAGTTCGCAGTTGTATCGCTTCGAATTATTCGCTTATATCGCCAATTCAATACTGACCGGGTCGCGGTCTATACCGGCCTTATATAGGGCCTCAAATAACATTCCAGAACCTGCTACTGTAGAAACATCCAGAATTTTCGAGTACATACCCGTCCCGACTGACTAGGTGTCGATAGTTCTCGAAAGTTCTATGGAAATTTCTAGAAGGATCTTGACTCTCATAGTTCTGCTACTCGATACTGAAGGGCGCTAGTGGTAACTAGTGTTGCCATGTATCAGGCATTAATGGTGGCGCTCAACCCATTAAAGTCCGCAGCTGAATAAAGGTCGCCCCTATAGATTGTCTCAGGGGTGGAGCTGGGGGGGATATTTGTCGTAGTTTCCGCACTTGGCAAGCGGGTTGGCAATCGCAGTTAATTAAGACAGACATGAGACATGACAGACTTGCAGGTTTCCTCACTATGTTTTCCTTCACCGCTGAGCACGTGGTAAATCAGCACTTTAAATTGCAATTAACAATTTCATTGGTGCCGGCGGGGATCGAACCCGGTTTTCTCATGTACTGTGAAATTTACAGCGAGCGCTAACCATCTGAGCTACCAAGACGTTTAGAAAGACGCTGCTGCCCATTTCCCGGTTTGTTTCTGTCGTCTCATACGACACCCACTATAGGATAGTATGGGATAGTTATAGATATTCTTACACCGACATTACACGGTCAAAATTAATTAATAATTAAGTTGTTATTATATTTTAGTAAGTACATCCGAAGCTGACGCCGCTGCGAAGTTGTTCATAACGGACGATAAGAAAATTATCCTGCAAGATGGTGAGTTGGTGATTATAAATTAATCTATATTTGCATGCTCGGAAAAGGGTTTAGTGGGTGAAACTTTTTTTATACCACGAAATGTAACCACACTTTCTGTAAATAAATTATTATTGACAACACTTCAACTATGTTATAGTTGTATCACGAATGGGTCGGCTCGACCGGGGAAGGACCACGCTCTCACAGAATACCAACGTGAAATAGCAACTTAATTTTGCTGTATTTCACATGGTGAGTGTAGAGAACCGGAGATCCTTTTTACTGGAAACGAGGCATTTCATCTTAGTCCTTATGGGTAACAACGTATATGCATTATGATTCTTAATCGAGGATAGATGTACATTTAGATGTCTGTGGGCCACAGCTTTCAAACAATCAGGTGGACTGTGTGCTTATTTGTCATCTTTATTCTATAAAATCGGGACTTCTAAACAAAAAAGGACTCTAAATAAGTCTTTGGAATATAATCAGAGTTTCCCATTGTCAACTCCACACCACCACACGGTTTCGGCATTTATTTTGTTTTATTATAATTATTTATCTCCGTCTGATATTTTGTCAGTTTTTATTAAAGTGAAAACTAATTTAGGCACACTGGGCACTTTTGGATGGGGCAAAAACACTGTTCTCACGTGACCGTCACGCTTAGATGTATATAAATATGTGTGTATATACATATATATAATATATAGCTCTTTTGGAATAGGGTTAAAAGCACTGAACTCGCGTGACCATCACGCTCAGATTGATATACAGGGTTATTTTTCAAAGAGTAGCCAAATTTTAAACTTTAGTTCAAAAATATAAATAATAATATACCGTTATTGCAGTTTTTGATAACACGAGTAAATGAGGCTTCTACTTTTATTTGAAATTATCCCAAATTGAATGTGATTTATGGGCAACAACATTTTTACAAATGTGTGCGTGCCTACCGATCGACTATTACAAATGTGTGCGTGCGCAGTGAATTCAGTTACAAAAATGCATTATTTTGAATTTAAAAGATAAAAAGAACAGAATATTTTTTTTTCAATCAATTTTTCTTCGCCATTTGCCTACATTACTTATTCTGAACCTTCTCTAAAATTTGGCTAGTTATTGTAAAATAACCTTGTATACAGATGTGTGTTTATACTCGCAGAAGTATATATATATATATACTTCTGCGAGTATATATACGTCAGAAGTATATATATATATATATATATATACTTCTGACGTGCAGTCCTACGACTGACTGTTTTTTTTTTATTGCTTTGTATGGTTTCTTTTTTGTTTTATTGTTATTTTCTTATCTCAGGTAAATCCACAATAAATTTATTGCAAGACAACGAGGAAACCCCTCTATTGACTATACGTAAGTTAAATTTTATATCTATACACATTGCAGTGTGCCAGCCAAGTTAGTAAAAGAAAAGAAACTCTCTATAAAAGTGATTTATTAAAAAATTCTTTTAGATTATGGCAAAACTTTGCTCTGTGACTTGCATTTTATATCAGGTGGATATTCAGCTTATTTGATCCCTTAATGTTGAGAACATGATCTTGTATCTCATGTTGGTAACATTGTTCTTGTAGTTTTTAGAAAAAGTTTTTATCGGACGATTTGGCGGATGGGGGCTAGGCGACAAAAAGTGTTAGATTTTTCCGTCACGACCCCTATAACATAGTGTAGACGGCCTTGGCGGCTATAAGGAAGCGAGATGGAAAAATATCCATCTCCCTCGCACTTTTTCTTATCTTGCCATGAAAGAAATATTATTTTATTTTAAATGACGCTTTATTTTAATAGATGGTAGTACATAATTATTTTATTTTTTATCTATATATATATATATATATATATATATATATATTTATATATATTTTTTAATCGATAATATAATACGTTTCATACGTGGTAGAGCCATGCTGCAGCAATATTACTAGTATAGTTGTAGCACGAATGGGTCGGTTCGACCGGGAACGGAACTCGCTCTAACAGAATACCAGCGTAAAATGGCAGCTTGACACTGCTGTGTTTCGTATGGTGAGTGTAGAGATCCGGAGACCCTTTTTACTGGAAAAGAGGCATTCCATCTTAGTCCTCACGGGCGACATCTGCATTTTGATTCTTTATTGAGGATAAATGTAGATATATGTCTATGGGTCACAGCAACCACTTACCATCAGGTGGACTGCGTGCTCGTTTGTCACCCTATCCTATAATAAAAACGTTTATCAATAATTAATATAACTACGAAAGGAACTTCGTTCCAATCGAGTGATCCACGACACTCACGCATGTTTTTTTTTATATAAGAGGGGGCAAACGTGCATGCGGCTCACCTGATGGTAAGTGACTGTCGTCGACCATGAACAACTGCAATGCCAGGGGAATTGATATAATCGAATAATAATCTAACTCCATGGACTAAAACGTTGAAATAGTTTGCATCTTTGTCTGCTTTTGCAGCCTCGTACCAGTAAGCGAAATGTAGTTAGATGGAGTGACGAGCTAGTGAGACATGCAGACGACAGTCGATGGATGCAGTCTTAGGACCGCGCGATGAGTATTCCTAGAGGGGATACCTATGTTCAGCAATAATGTTATACTAGTATTTTCTCTGGTATCGTGTGGGCAGTTTACATACATAAATATCTCAAGGACAAACATCCACACCCAGAATAATTTTTTTTAGGCTATACAATACTTGTTCCGCGCGGGATTCGAACCCGATGTCCTCAGCGCTGCAACTCATTGCTAAGCCTAAGTTATAAGTTAGTATATAGTTGTGTACATCAATGATCCGTGCCAAAATAAATCTATACTAATATTATAAAGAGGTCAAGTTTGTAAGTTTGTGACTATGTTTGTAAGAAGTAATCTCTGGAACTACTGAACCGATTTAAAAAATTCTTTTACCAGTAGAAAGCTACATTGTTCCTGAGTTACTGACATAGGCTATATTTGATTGTGATTAATAATATTTTATTAATGAAAAATAACAATATTTGTCAATCAACTCCGAAAATAAATCCTAAACACTCAGTACTAAGAACCAAACAAGATAATTTCATCACAAGTTAAAATTTTTGACACCCAGCAAAGTGGGCATAGGTCACTAGTCTTATATATAAAAAAAATATATTTCTTTGTTCGTATTTTATGCGCTGCTATACCGTTCGTCAGATTGCACTAAAACTTTGTCAACTTATTGATTGTTAGGACTTGCGCGAAGGTTATAGGCATAGTAAAATTTAGTTACGATTGGTGGCGCGCATATCGTACCGACAAATTTATTTGAAACTCATATGAATCTATAATCATTCCTAATTAAACAATATAACTCTTCCAAATTTAAAACTATATTTGCACAAATATTCTATCTGTGGCAGCAACGCGCCGGGTACCAGTTTGTAGTAAATAAAAAGTAATAATACAAAGAAACTGTTTCTTTCTTTCTACGTGGTTTTATACGTGGTAGAGCCGTGCTGCAGCTGTATTATGGTTGTAGCACGAATGGGTCGACTCGACTGGGGAAGGACCACGCTCTCACAGAAAACCAGCGTAAAATAGCAGCTTAACGCTGCTGTGTTTCGTATGGTGAGTGTAGAGAACCGGAGACCCTTTTTACTGGCAAAGAGGCATTCCATCTTAGACCTCACGGATGACAACGCATCTGCATCTTGAGTCTTTATTGAGGATAGATGTAGATATCTATGGGTCACAGTAACTACTGGTGGGCTGTGTGCTCGTTTGTCACCCGATCCTATAAAAAAAAGTAAAAAACACTTTCTTTCAATTTTTATAGATGACTAAGACGAAGTCTTGGTCTTCTTTATTTTTTTTTATTGATTATTTTACCTTAACCATAAGTATTTTGTATTTCAGATAATATAAATGACAACATAAAAGATGGTTCCATTTTGGAAGCAGTCACAACGGAACAGCTGGTAGGAGAAACACAGGTATTGTAATACTCTCTAATAAATGTTACGTGGTAGAGCCAAGCTGCAGCTATAATATAGCTGCAGCACGAATGGGTCGACTCGACCGGGGAAGGACCACGCTCTCACTAAATACCAGCGTAAAATATCACCTCAACTCTGCTGTGTTTCATATGGTGAGTATAGAGAACCGGAGACCACTACTGGGAACTAAAAAAATAAAGTTAAAATGCAAAGAATGGTAAAGTTGCAGCCTATTTACGTCCCACTGCTGGGCACAGGCCTCCTCTCATTTCTGAGAGGGTTTTAGTGCAAGGAAATGTCCGCCGCGCTGCCCCAATGCGTGTTGGCGAACTTCACATGTCATCGAAATATTTTTTTTCCTTATTTCTCAGACATGCAGGTTCCCTCACGATGTTTTCCTTCACCGCCGAGCACGTGGTAAATCAGCACTTAAAACTGCAATTAACAATTTCATTGGTGCTGGCGGGGATCGAACCCAGGTTTCTCGCGTACTGTGAAGCTTACAGCGAGCGCTAACCATCTGAGCTACCACGGCTCTAAATGCTCAAAGAATGGTGTTTGATAGGAAATGTCAAATTTCGCGAACACTGATTTACCCATATTTCTGATTTACCGGTAGCATACGTGTTGACAGTAATGACTTATGGATCTGAGACGTTTTACTTTACTGCTGACTTTATGAGGAAACTCAAGGTTGCTCAGCGAGCTATGGAGAGGGCTATGTTCGGAGTTTCTCTGCGTGATAGATACTTAGAAATGAGGATATCCGCAGTAGGACCAGAGTAACCGACATCGTCCAACGGATTAGTAAGCTGAAGTGGCAATGGGTTGGCCATACAGGCCGTATTGAAGTTAAAATTTAATTATTTGCTTGACTAATACAATACGTGTAATTTGCCTTATGGACGCCATACACGATCCAGTTTACCGTGAAGTTTGCAGCGCGCTTGAAACGGCGTCGGGTAAACTTGACGGTGTATGGCTATCAGTGTGCATGACAAATCTACTTGAAGCAAAAATTGAATTTCGATTCTGCCGAATTGATCAGGCTTACAGCGTCATGTAAACTTGAACGTGTCTGTGAGCAGTCAAGTATGCATGACGTTAGTCGGAGCAATAAGCGAGAGACGCCATGGTTTCAACTGATCATCATGCAAACTTGACGGCGAACTAGACCGTGAGTGGTCTATATGGATGCACTGCATACTGGACGCCGCTTCAAGCGCGCTGCAAACTTCACGGTAAACTGGATCGTGTATGGCATTCATTAAGGAACTTCTTTAGTTAAAGATATTCTTTTTAAACCATAGTTTAAACTCGAGTCTATCCACAGTACCATCAAGGGAACTGTGCACTCGTATCACCCTTGTTCTATAAAAAAGTAGCAATTATTATCACCTATGTTTTTGTTTGTTTTTCAGGAAATAACAACAAGCGAGGCGTCAGGCACTTCGGGCATGGTGAGACTGGTGCAGGTGCAGCTGCCAGATGGCAGGAGTGGCTGGCTCGCTGTCGACTCGTAACACGACGTGGATGCTTTGTTTATGGACTTGAAGACGCGTGATTAAATCTCAGTCAACTAGTATACAGGGTTATTTTGCAATATACGGCCGAATTTGCAGAGAAGATTCAGAATAACTAATATAGGCGAATGGTAAAGAAAAATTAATTAAAAATAGTCTCAAACATTCTGTCCTTTTTATCTTTTAAATTGAGAATCCATGCATTATATTAACTAATTGTCATTCATAAATATCTAACGCCTACTATTTTACTGAGCACGCACACATTCGTAAGGGTCGCTCGGTCGGCAAAAACGTTGCTCATGCACTGTTTGAAAAATAACCCTGTATGTGGTGAACAATTTAACTTACTAACGACCAAATATTCTAACGCTACTCAATTTTAAGATGCCGTCAAGCCTACTGCTGTCTCTATCACTTTAAGTCAAAGTGACTGTGACACCACTAGACTTGACGACATCTTAAAATTAAGTGGCGTTTGATTATTTGGCCGTTAGTAAGTTAATATGTTCACTCTTACTTAAAGTGCTAGAGACATCACAAGACTTAACAAGATCTTAAAATTGAGTATCAGTTGAATATTTTAACATAAGTGTATTATAATCGGCATTATGTCGAATGAAACATATTTATCAATACATATAAATAAAATTGAAGTATCTGTCTGTAATATTGTAATAACTGGCTTCTATTAAGTTCGAGGGGTGGAGCAACATATCGACTTCACTTTTCGTTAACACTTAATTTCGCTCCCCATCCTGTTTGTGTATGGTGGGCTATATATAGACAAAAACCCTGTAGTTCCCGTTCAGTGCGCTATCGTTATCAGAAAACTCGACCATAAAGAAAGTTAAACTAATTATTTAAATTTCAAATAAATTTTTATTTGCAAATTGTATGTATGTGGTTTTTCTTATTCTAAAATAAAAGTAGCCTAAGTTACTTCTTATAACATCAGCTATATGTCAGTGAAAGTCCGGTCAAAATCGGTCCAGCCGTTTCGGAGATTAGCCGGAACAAACAGACAGACAGAAAGACAAACAGACAAAAATTTTAAAAATCATGTTTTTGTTATAAGTAAGTTATATACTTTCATATGCATATAGCAAAAAGCTGTTATTTAGACATTACAAATAGACACATCAATTTTATTTATTTGTATAGATTAAGAGCAATTGCAAGTAAACTTTTATTTTAATTTAATTTAAAAAAGTTTTCTGAAGTAAAGTTATTCCTATATAAAAGCTTTTAGAAAAATTTACTTCGCAAATATCCGCGTTATAAAATAAAATGATGTGTCTTACCTAATATGAAGAGCACCTCCCGCCCTCCCTCAATTGCGTGCACTATCCCCGTCACCACTAATCCCAGCACCGTAGCGGTACTAGGTAAGACACATCATTTTATTTTATAACGCGGATATTTGCGAAGTAAATTTTTCTAAAAGCTTTTATATAATGGATTTCCGCAAAGTAACGCCTAATTCTGTTAATTATATTATTCCTATATGTTTGAAGACTGATTCTGATAACCCACTTAACGGGAACCACAGGATTTTGTTAGATGTTGTATATGAAAATTAATTCAAGTGATAAAATAATTAGTTTTAAACAAATAGTGTCTGTCTTTAACGTATATTTCATAACAAAAATGTATGGCGCGACTATCGAAGGATCCCCCTTAAGGAGTAAACTCCAAACCTGGAACATAAATAAAGACATAATAAAATCAATAAATAAATGTATATAATTCACAAAGTAACTACCATTGCTATGATAATGTGAGGTAACGCGAGTATTCGCCTAGATTTTCGCTCTTTACTGGTTTTAACTAGTCCCTGCTGTTTTAAGTATATGTCTAGTCGCAGGCATAGAGTGTTTAATTGTGTTATAATAAGTTATAAGTATTTATAATGTGAGGGAGTAAGTGAGAGAATAGAGAGTGCACCTGTGCTTGCGCATACACTCGGGTACTACCTGTCCTGCGCAGATGGCTAGTCTCCGTTTACACTGGACGCCGTGACCGAACTTCGGTCTGGAGAAAACTGTTACTATTAAGTGATTTATTTATTGTAGAACATAAGATTGACAGATGAACACACAGTCCACCTGATGGTAAGTGAATGCTTTCGCCCATACACATAATATTAAACTACATTTATCATTAAATCAAAACGCAGATGCGGTGTTACCGCTAAGAACTATAATGAAATGTCTCGGTTCCTGTATGGGCCTGAGTTTTCTCTAAAAAGTGATATGTCCATTTAATTCAGTGTTCATTAAAAAGACGTAAAATATTGCTACGGACATTTGGCCCAAAAATACTATTGTTTTACTAAATAACTCCTTTTAACCTTTTTTTTAAATTTTACAGATTTTATCATATTTTATTGTTTTTTTTTTTATTTAAAGTATTTTTGATGTTTGAATGCTTAGTATCGTTCACGGTCTATAGGGACTTACGTAAAATTTGTTTAATTCGTTATGATAAATATACAAGTAGATAATGTTAGATTACTTTTAATAGAAACCTACTTCTCATAAATAACGATAGATAGACCTTACAGCCTCTTCTTTATTCGAGATTCGATATTTTCTACAGACTTCAAAAAGGAGACTGTACTCAATTACACTGTATGTTTTTTATGTGTTTTACCCTCATAACTTTTACTGGTTGAACCGATTTCGATGATTCTTTTTTTATTTGAAAGCTGGTGCTTCACATGTGGTCCCATATAAATTTGATCAAGGTCTGACCAATAGTTTTTGAGTTATTCTTAATAATTTATATTGAAGTCGGTTGTACAAAATTTTAAATTATGCTTTCATAATATTAGTTGTACTTTTCATTGCCCGTGTAGTGGCGGTGTAAGAATATCCACTTTGTCATATAGTCCCGAGATTGTCGTATGAGACGAGGGAGACTAACCAAGAGATGGGCAGCAGCGTCTTTCTAACGCCATCTGGAAAATAAAAAAACCTTTGTGGCAACTATAGCAAATGAGGCAATATGGGACAACGTGTTGAGTAGGCCTATGTTTAGCGGTGAACATTTCATGGGCTGTAATGATGATGATGTATGATTTTATTGACGTTGCTCTCCCATCACTAAAAGAACTTAAATTGAAAAGAAAATTATTTCGAGAGTATGTGTTAAAATAGAGTGAAATTATATCTTTTAAAATTAGAATGAAAACTTGAAGAACTTTTTTATTAATAGGACTAAGTTGCGTATTTCACAGCTTTAATGTACTAGACCTTCGAGTCTGAACAAATAGATTCAAAAATGAATACAATCGGTCTCATACTCTTAAAAATCAACATCAATATAAGCAATGATTAAAATCTTCTTCTTCTTCTTTTAAATTATGATTTCTGTTGATAGAATTCTGCTAGTGTCAAGTTAGTGATTAAAATGTTTTCTCTCTTTCTTTATTAAATGACATTAGAACAAGACAGATATTTAACACCATACAGATAATGAAGGCTAATAATCTTCCCCTCACTAGGTGTCGCTAGTTGACACTGAGGAAGTTTTTTTTTACATAGTGTCATTTCATTGAGAAGTTAGTTTTCAGTAAAAGTTTATCAGTTTCTAGAGTATTATGGTCTATTCGCTTAGATACGATCGCTTTTATATCGCTCCGCCTATGCACGTGCCGCATCTTGTCAAAGGCGCCGCCGCGACATCAAAGGTACACCCGCAGGAGAATTTGTCATTTTAAAACGAAGCGCCGTAGTGAAAGGTTCTTTGGTACCTGACTTGTGTTTATTATTTATATTCTATTTTATTCCTAAGAATTCTAAAATAAGGAAACATTTATTTAACGAACACAGTAAAAAAATAATAAAATAAAAGCAAAATAATTTGTACGCCTCCGGGTGTACCGACATTATCATAGCGAACAGACTATATTAATACACAAAACAATGTCGCAGTGGATTGCTTTTTAATTTTTTGCTCTTTTTAACTCTTTTAATTTTTCTACTTTTATGTGGATATATCTGTGGTTTGATTTATTTATTTTTATCTAATAATAAATATAAAATATAACTGACAGTACAGAAAGAATTATTGCACCTCATTTTTAAGTAACGCCGCCCTGGTGGCAGAAAAAGTCGTGGATGCTTAACTCATTAATACTTTAAGCTGGCGCTAAACAACGAATATAAGTGAAGCCGATTATATTTATATTCACAAGGGACGGGCAAGTGAAAAAAATATCGATAAGACGTCATATTTTGATGGTGTACTAGGGTAAGGCCCAAAATTTTATTACTGACAGTTAGACGACAAAAATACATGACTGCTTTTGTAGCTGCAACGTCATAAGCAACAGCTTATGTTTTGTCGATTTATACATTTTAAAATATATCGCGATTAAAATATAGATATATATATATATATATATCGATATACTTATGAAAATATATCGATATTTTTTACCCGAACCTAATATTCACTATATTATGAGACTGCTTTTTTGGTCTAATGGTTGTAAGCGATTGCTAGTCATGTATTCCCGAACTTGGTATTTGGTCTTTCGAATACAGCTAAAATATTAGTTTTGTAAAAATCATTAGAGCTTTTAAGAAACCAATTATTTATTTATACCGGCGTGTGTTGCAAGCAAAAACATCTATCCTCTATTGACTGGACTAACTCCACGCCATCTTGTAAATATTTATGTTGGCATTATTGTAGACTGTACTCGATACAAAATAGCGTTGTAAATAAACCTTGGTTTTCAAGTGTTGTGTTAGATTCAATGTAATATTTTTGTTGAATAGAAATAAATTTTTAAACAAATTCATAATTGGTTTTCTTCTTATAGAATAGGGTGACAAACGAGCACACAGTCAACCTGATGGTAATTGGATGCTGTGACCCATACACATCTACATTTATTAATCGAGAATCAAAATGCAGATGCCTTGTCGCCCCTGAGGACTAAGATGGAATACCTCGTTCCCAGTAAAAAGGGTTTCCGGTTTTCTACA